TTATTAGGGTGGCAGATATATGGCATTGGTTCTGCAGTGCGAAAAACTAGACATTGCAAAGGAGAAGTCCTCACTGCATAGAGCATCAAGGAGTTATAACAAAGCACTAGAAACAAGGGACAAAAAATCGGGAAGCACTGTGGGGACTTATAACAAAGCACTAGAAACAAGGGACAAACAATTAGGAACCACTGTGGGGAGGTACATCAAGGCACACGGAACAGGGGCAAACAATCAGGAACCACCACCGAGAATTATAACAAGGCACGAACAATCAGGAACCAGTGTAGGAAAAATAGGGAATTACAATAAGGCTGAAACATTCAGGAACCACTCTGAGAATATAAGCGAACCCTTAGAGCTCTTGTTTTTCAGGACACTCCCTGCAAAGCGTTTGTGGTATAGTACAGCATAGCATAAAGTATTATAGAGCTACTGTCACCTGGTGGCTAAAAGTTGTATGTAGGCAAGTCCCAAGCTCAGGTTTTGCCTTGGCCACTTTGGTGGCACTAGGGAAGTCACCATTCTTGCAACTTCAGCCTTGCCCTGAGCCCCTCTTTGCCACCAGACAGTGATAATATTTGCCTCTCTTACCGGTGTGCTGTAAGGATGAAGAAGAATGTACGCTAATCACTTTGTACAGTCCAAAACCACCAGCTTTAACTAGGTATTTGGGAGCTGGAGTTAAGTGGGGGGGGGGCCCCTACTCGAATTCATTTTACTTTTAACTTTATTTAATGCTGCAATGCTCAGTTCTGCATGATGGCATTGCAACGGATTGGGTCCAGGTGGGCAGCCCTGCTGGTCTGAAGCGGTAGAACAAAATTTAAAGTCCAGTGGCACCTTTAAGACAAGCAATAAAACTTTGTTGCTCTTAAAGGTGCCACCGGACTCTAACTGTGTTCTAAAAAGATGGGTGTATGGGGGGGGGGGAAGGGACACATCAGCCAGGCCATTCAAAGGAAAAAGGAATTGTCAGAGGGCACAGCAGAGGGCGCGTGAGTTCTTCCAAGCTGAGAGTTTTTTGGGGGGGAAACCTCCTGATGGAGGATCTGTGTGGGTGGCTTCTTCTAAGCAGACTAATTGCTGACTTTGCTGGAATTCAGGCTGAGCAATCTGTTGGTGGCGAAAGAATTCAACCCTCGCAGAAAAAAATATTAAACCCAGAAGCCGTGTGGCATCTGCCACCCATTAGTATAGAGTGTGCATTCCTTTGCACAGTTACTTCGGAACAAGTCCCATTGAACTCCATGTGTGAGTTACTTCTGAGTCAGTGGCCCATTCTGCATCTAGCATTCACTCCGCTGTTTTACCACACTCACGTTGGAACAGAAACTCCCCTCTGCATTGCATGCCACTTTCACGTTGATCGATTGTCGGATTTTATGGCAGTGTCCAGACTGCATGCTGCTTTCACTTCGTTTGTTCTTTTGGTGATGTCTGCATAGATTTATGGCCAAAGTTTTATGGCCATTCAGGGGTGACTCTGCAGTCCGTACAGCGTTGGCCCGGGGTATTTTAATGTGGTTTTGAGCCACATCTTTTTCTGTTCCAGTGTGGGTTTGGTAGGACGACGGACCGAATGCTAGATGTAGAATGGGCCAATATTTACAGGATCAGATGGTGGCTCAATTAAAGCCGAGATCCACTGCGGGGAAGTATAACAAAGAACCTGAAACAAGGGGCAAACAGACAGGAACCACTGTGGGGAGGTATATTCTCGTATTCCCCATATGCAGAGCCTGAATCAGATTAGGATCATGGTGCACATGGAGAAGGGGGCTCAGGCTTCCTGGGGCACCTGTTGGGAAAACCCACATGTATCTCATGGAATAAGTGGCTTTCCCATAATAGCACCCTAATAGGACTGAATTAGGTTGGGAAACGACTACAAGGGTGGGAGAGACTGAAATTCCAACTCCCTGGGCATGGTGGTCCTGATCTGAATTGGGCATTGCAAGCACGGAAACGGAGGAGAACCTGTAACTTAGGTGTGCCTGTTGCGTGGGATACAGGGTGATGACCCCAGACCCAAGCGGTGTGCTCCATAATGTGTGAATTGCTCACCGGGATCAATCACTGTTCAAACAAATGCAGCCCTAGACTGGCGTTCTTCCTCTTCCTCTGTTTTCCAGTGCAGTTTTCTACCGATGGGCACCAGGCAACTTTCATCATTCGCATCCGCCACACCCCCACCCCCAGGCTCTACAACCCAGGATCCTCCAGAGGGGGAGCCAGTGGAGGTGAGTGCGGTGGGCAAAAGCCCTGCGGGGCTCTTAGTGGGGAAAGAGCGCTTTGGAGCCCATCTGCAGAGCTGGAGCTCTCAGCCTTGGAAGGCGTGAAGTCAAGAGCACTTGCCGTGGGCTTGGCTTTCCCATATCCTTAAAAGACAATTCTAGGCAGGAAGCTGTGTTAGATCTGAACTAGATGTGACATTTTAACGTGACCATCACAGGGCCTTAGAGCCAGACTGAATATTGCACATGTAGCCCCCTTGTAAGGTGAATACCACCCCCCTCAGGACATTTCAGTTCAGGAAAATGGCCGGAGGGGAAGGCTGAAGCCCTTCCTGTCCTCTCATGTGGTGGTACCAATACAAATTGGGCCCCTACGGAGCCCACGGGGAATTTACAGCTGCCATCCAACTGTGAGTCCCCATGATAGTCATAGATCTAATTTGGGCCTTATTCTGCAGCTGCAAAATAAAACAGGAATCCTTAAAGACTTAACTGCATTCCTTCTAGCGTCAGCTTTTGTGAGTCAGAGAGCTCACTTTGTCAAAAGCTTAGGAGTGTCCAGCTGTAGCAGATACATATATTTTAAAAATGGTTACATCATAAGCTGTTGTGAGTGGGAGCTTACTTTCTCAAATACATCAAGGATAAAATCCATGCCTTTGACGAAGTGAGTTTGGTACTCACGAAACCTTTTGCTGGAATGAATTTTGTTTGTCTTCAAGGTACCACTAGACTCCTGCTTTAGTTTGCCATGTTCCTAAATATCATTATGGCTCCACTTGTTCTAAGCCTGAGCTCTTGCTTAAAAAAAAAGCCAGAGCTCAAATTAAGGTTCAGATGGAGGTCGTAAAGATAGACCTTTAGCGACTACTGGAAGCACCTTTTTCCCCTGCAATATAAGCAAAAAAAATGTATCGTATGGCATTGTGAATATCACTATATCTAATAGCCAAGTTGCCCCCTCCGTGCGGATCGCTATATCTGCACTTTGGGGGCACTTGGGGGGCAGGGGGAGGTTTGTGCACATGTGGGGCAGTGCCCACATGTGCACAAAAATAAAAAAGTTAAAAAAAATTTCGGGGGGATGTTTAAATCCCCCCGAAAGTGCAAGAGCGTCTCCTGCGCGTGGACAGGAGACGCTCTGCGACCTACCGAGCTTGCGTGGCGGCGGCGGCAGGCAGGCAGGCAGGGAGGCAGGCAGGGAGGGGAAGGACCGGCCTTGCCGCCGCCGCCGCCTTCTGGGAGCCAGCGGGCGGCCGGGCGGCCGAAAAAACAATATTTTGCTACTACCAGTGTTACCGACTTCTTGGTGTCTTCCAACAAATATTTCAGCAGCACAGTATCTGCAAATTTTAAATAACTGTCTAAGGGTTTAAATTGGGAGAGTAAAGGGAACATTAACTGATATCTCTCTCCAGAATAGAGTTTACAGTGGAAAAGAATGTGAATAATTGTTTCTATTTCTTTATCTGAGCACAGACAACATCTTTGATAGATAGGCCAACAGAGATACCTTCCTTGCAGTAAATTAGAAGGGAAGGCATCAAAACGTGCTCTAGAAAAAGCCCATCTGTACTTTTCATGTGATGTTAGAGAGATATGGTGCGGTTAGTATCGCGGGTCCCCCCTTGTAAGCAACTAATTCCCAACGTAAGAAGGGTGCGTGTGCTTTTTCAAGGTCCGTAGCCCACTCTAGTGGCTAGTTTGAACATTACACTCTAGGCAAATGCCAGTTATCTCTCACTTTTTAAAAAAATTATTTACCTTTGCCTTTTTCATTGAGACTCAAAGCAGAATACACAATGTAAATCAATGCACTCAACAGAACAATAGATCTAACAGGGAGTTTCAATGGACTAGGGAGTGAAGACGTTTGAAATAAAACTCGCGTCTGAAGAAAGCTTGATAATTAAACTTGATATGCTAAACAATGCAGAATGTGGTATTACATCAGTAGAACCCGGGCAACCCTATTCTGATGTACCTCAAACTCATTTGTTATGAGGGCCGGATCTGACATAAATGTTACTTTGTTGGGCCGGGCCCCGTGTGCCATAAAATGTAATGCCAGGCATCGGAGATAAAAACTTTATAACCCAATGAACGATATTATTTTTTACCCAAAATACAAACATGCTTAACACTCGTACAGTGTTTATTTACAGTATCTCCCTGATGCCCACCCTCCCACTTCCACTGCCTGTTACACATTACCACTGGGACAGTATTCAGGGACAGAATGCGCAGCCTCTGTCATCTGGCAATAAAGCTAATGATGCGTGGGCCAGATAGGAGCCCTGTGGGCCAGTTCCGGCCCACGGGCCATATGTTTGACACCCCTGTCCTAGAGCAACCCGTGCCCCTTGGTTTTTCCAGTTTGACCAAGGGAATCCCAGAAGCAGAAACACAAGCAGCACATAGTATGTCCAGTGGGGGCAGTTATGATTTGTGGCGCATGCTGTAGCAAGTTCATGCTGTCCCTGCTCCGCCTGAGCCCACCGTGAAGGACCCAGCCTTGCTGAGCCGTCCTTCCTCCGCACCCATCCCAGCCGCTCTCATGATGGTCTCTCCATAGCAGAATACAACATCAGTGCCCTGGTCACCATTGCCACCAAGACCTTCTTGCGCTACGACAAGCTCCGAACGTTGATCGACAGCATCCGCAAGTTTTACCCCATGGTGACCATCATCATCGCCGATGACAGCCAGACCCCCGAACGTGTGGAGGGGCCACATATCGAACAGTACTTCATGCCCTTTGGCAAGGTGTGGGAAGGGCTGTGGGAAAGGAGTAGGGTTGCCAACTCCAGGTAGGAAAACTCCTGGACTTGGGGGGTGGGGGCGGCAGAGCCTGGGAAGGGCAAATTTTGGGGAGAGAGTTCATTAAGGATGGGATGCCATAGAATCTACCCTCAGAAGCTGCCATTTTCTCCAGGGGAGTTAATCTGTGTGGTCTGGAGATCAGTCGTAATTCTGGGAGAACTCCAGACCAGGGGTGTACACCCCCACCCCCCCAATTTGGGTCTATTGGGACCCAAAAATATCAGTATTCCTGAATATTCTCGAATACCAATATCAGTTTTGTATTGGGATTTGGGTAAATATTCGGGAAACCTGAATATTCGACTCCATTATACCCTATGGGGACTGTATTTTCTGGGTGTTTTTTCAGCTTGTATATACTGAGCGCACACCCTACTCCTGACCTCAGCTGGAGATTGGCAACCCTACAGCCTCAGGCTGCATTCCCAAGTGTTCTGCAGGACTCCATGGGCCAAATCATCCAAGAGGTTCAGACAGGGAGATGTTCTTGGGGGTTGGGCTTCTGAAATGGGGTAAGGTGGAGGGGGAGCAAAATATATCAGTGGTTCCATTTATAAACACATGCTCCTCTTGTGTTGGAAGATAGCTTATTTCCTTGATCCAACAAAAACACAACGTGCTACACTCATATGCTGCTATGAGCAACTTGGAAGTTCAGCAGAATAAAAACTAGCAAGCAACGAGTGGGCATCCTAGCAGGAGAGTGTCGATAGCCCATCATGAAACATGGATGAGTTACCTCTCAACAAACTTTAAATGTGCTCACAGTTGGAATGAATGAATGGAGTCCAACACCCTCCGCCCCATTTTATTCACGCGTTTGAGCGATTCTGATCCACATGATTCATTGTGAGCACAGAACCCCTGGAGGGATAGTTTAATAGATGTAGATAAATTTAATCTGGAGTACAAGGCTGAAGGACGAACAGATGAGTTGCAACTATTGACTGGATGAGGAACCTCCCCTGTTGATACAGCATCTAGATCAGAAGTAATATGGTAATCTAGATTAGTGGTCAGTGAGTGGAGGCTCATGGGTCAAATCGGGGCCCCTTAGTGTGACTTCCTCCCCCCCCCCCAGTTGTCAACAAAGAGACCAACAGGAATTGCTGACCAGGAACTAAGGTGTCAGTGAGGGCATGACATGAAATACCTGGATTTATGGGCACATGGTGGAGGGGACCAGAGAGGACGAACAATATCCCCTGAGGATATTAAATTATAAAGCTGGCAATGTATGGTGCGTGGCAGAAAAAACAAGTCAGGCAAGTAACAATTCTCAATAGCTGTACAAGAGGGTTGACATTGGCTGTTCCTGTGACTGGTGTTTACATGACCCCCTCCCTCGCTCCTTCCTAGGGCTGGTTTGCTGGCAGGAATCTCGCCATCTCCCAGGTGACCACCAAATACGTTCTGTGGGTGGACGATGACTTCGTCTTCACGATCCGCACCAAAGTGGAAATGCTGGTCGATGTCCTCGAGAAGACTACCCTGGACCTAGTGAGACCCTATTCCGCTTTCCCCCCCTGAATGTTCTATCTATCAAGACAGACATCTCTCCATCTGAACTCTTTTGGTGGCCAAAATGGCAGTAAAATTCTGCATCAGGAAGTGGGTGGAGGGTGATCCCAGTAATCGTTCCTTAAGTGGGAAAACCTCTGGAGACAGCCAGGGCAGCTGAGGGGAATCAGGGCATTTAATATATGCTGAACTTCAAACCAAAGGAAAGTGCAGGGAGCCAGGGACAAAATTCCTTAGATCCAAATTAGGTAGAGCTGGTTCCTGCTAGGGATGTATGCTTGGATATAACCAAGCCAAATATATCTCCAAATAATACCTTATCAGTATTTTTAAAATATCTTCTGGTCTCCCAAATATATCCAGGACTTTTCAGAATACTGAAAATGGGTCCTGAATTTTTTTGGGAAATATTGGGGATTAACTAGGAATATTTGGGGCAGGCTCCCAGGACTGTCTCCCCCTCTTTCTTTGTCTACTGAGGCTTCGTATGGGCTTGCCAGGCTGCTTTAGGGAAGATCCTGTCAGTTTCAAGTGTTTTTGCTGTTTTTCAAAAGTGCCTTCTCTGCTGGTGTTAGTTTGTGTTGGGTTCATGGGTTTTTTTGGGTGGATTTTTGCATTTTACAGTGAGATGCTTGTGTTTTATATAGGTTAAGATTCTTGCATTTTATTTAGTTGCAGATTCTCAGATTTTACATAGTCACAGACTCTTGGGATTTTCATTTCTTGAGCTTAGCCATAGCTTGTGATTGCGTTCCTATTGGGGGGAGGGGGAGATTCTGGGGTTTACATTTTTGGTGCCCCCCTATAGGAAACAATGGAAGACAATTGGGCACCTTGTTCAGGGGCCCATAGAATTGGGACCCTTGGTCCAGTTGACTTGAAATTTGTGGTTATGTAAAGGACAGGAACCAGCAGCTCCCCTGCAGTTTCAGTGCCCAGTACCTTAACCACCCCCAGCCCCCTGGAGAGATTCCCCATAGTGAATAATGGAGCTGAAAAGTATCAGAAACTTGAAAAGAAATGATTCAAATACTAGTATTTTTCAGCTCCGGTATATCCAGATCAGAAAAATACCCCTAGTTCCTGCTTCCTTGGCTACATTGTTCAAGGTGCATATTCAGTTCAGAAGAGCGGGTGTCACCCCACATAAGGAACTGGATCTGAATGGTTCTGTATCCCACAATCCCAAATCCAAGCACTGGAAGCTGGAGCGTACATCAAGAGAAGGTCCTCCCCTTCATGCTTCTGGGAAACCCACGAGAAGGGAATCTGCTGTTTGAAACAGGAGGCTGGCCCAAACCTTTGATCTGATCTCTTCTTACGTAAATCATGGCTCCTGCAGAAAATCTCCACCCAACTGGAGGGGACTTCTCCACTTCCTCCTCTCCCCCTTTGAAATACTTCTCCTTGGGGATGGGCAACCCCCCCCCTGAAATAGCACAAAGTGGAATCAGAAATCTGCCAAGGGTGGGAGGCACTGCCAAAAATACCCGATTCCCCCTCGGTCAGCAGCAGAACTGGTTGGTGGGATCCAACCCCCATACATCCATATGCCACCAGAAACTGTCCCTTGCAGTGCCTTCATAGTGTGTCTGGGCTAGACCTTACTTTGGAATCCAGATTTGTTTCAGCCTTGCTTCCTCATCCAGGCCTCATCCACATCTCCAAATAGGGTTGCCCACTCCAGGTTGGGAAATTCCTGGAGATTTGGGAGTACGGCCTGAGGGAGGACAGAGTTTGGAGAGGAGGGATCTCAGTAGGGTGTAATGCCATAGACTCTGCCTTCCAAAGCAGCCGTTTCCTCCAGAGAAACCGATCCCTGTCGTTTGGAGATCAGCCATAATTCCAGGAGATCTCCAAGTCCCACCTTGAGATTGACAACTTTCTCTCTGAACCGGATCAGGCGCTAAAGATCAGCTTCCCTGGTGTGAGCACCCCCAGCTCCGTTCTCCTCCCAGCTCTCCACTCACCCTTCCCCAAAGTCGTCTCTGTGTTTGGCAGGTGGGCGGAGCCGTGCGAGAGATCACCGGCTACTCCACCACATACCGGCAACAGATCAGCGTGCAGCCCGGGAACGAAGACGGGGATTGCCTGCGAATTCGGCAGGGCTACCACCACATCATTGAGGGCTTCCCGAGCTGCGTGGTCACCGACGGAGTGGTCAACTTTTTCCTGGCCCGAACAGACAAGGTGCTGCAGGTCGGCTTCGACCCCCGTCTCAGCCGCGTCGGCCACCTCGGTGAGTGGTGCAGCGGGGGTGATCTGTATGTAGAGAGTGGAGATGCATGTACCTCAACTTCAGCATCATTTGGGGGGGGGGGATGCTCTATGCTACAAGCTGGTTAAAAGACTTTCCCAGAGCTTTGGATCCGAGCAGCGGGTCCAGGCTTCATAGCAATGTTGCGCAGAGTTGTAAAAACGGACCCCTCCGGTGCCATCTGCTTAGTTTGGCTCTGTCGGTAATCCTCTTTTCTCCTCCTCCTCAATATTTATATATGTGTGTGTGTGTGTGTGTGTCCAGAGTTCTTCATCGATGGCTTGGGCATGCTGCACGTGGGCTCCTGTTCCAACGTGGTGGTGGACCACGCCTCCAAGATCAAGATCCCCTGGCTCAAGACGGACACAGAGAAGCAGTACGCCAAATTCCGCTACCCCAACTCGAGCGACAACAGCATAATCACGAAGCACAGCCTCTTCTACTTCAAGAACCGGTTCAAGTGCATGTCGGGCAACTAGTCCACGGTCGGCAGGGTGTCAAGAAACTCACCCACGAGAGCCAGCCACGTCCTCAGGCATCCAGGCCTGCTGATCTCAGGCGGCCCGCTCCGGCAACAGCCCTTGGGCCAACGGTCTTGCCCGTCAACTAGCCAACACTCCCCCCACCCCGAACTCAGGGAGGCCTCAGCATCCTCAGGCCTTGGGATTTGGAAAATGGGCGGCCGATCCCTTCCCTACCGTACCTTTATTTAAAAAAAAACAAAATCCTTTTTTAGCACAAAGGTGCGGCTACACTGTCCCGAGCCTGGCACTGAAGCGATTATGTGCTGCCTTCTCTTGCATTTATAGATCTTGTTGCCTGAAATGGAGAACCGTAAACTGGGAATGATGCTGGTAAACTGCCTGGGAGGTTCTTTTTCCCCACTTCTCCTTTCCTGATTGGGAATAACCTACTTCTCTAATAATCTGTGAGCTTCCTTCTGCCTGTCCCCCCTCCCCTCACAATGTGCACGCACACACACACACACACACTAAATAGCCTCCAACCCCAGATATCCGAACCGCCTGTTTCATCTAATCAAGAGGGAATATTATTGGGGGGGGGGATCATACTTGAACTCTGGGGGCGTTCTGCCGTGCCACAACTTTTTGTGCCAACAAGTCTTGCATCTGTGCTCCCTCCTTCTGAACTCCTGCCAAGCGGGTCGTCACCCGGGGAGATTTTTATTTTCTTTTATTTATTTTTCTTTGAAGTGCCAAAGACCACAGAGACCGGGAGGGGGGGAGCCTGGGGGGGGGAGGGAGCAAGCCTGCCGCAAAGTGAACGTCAAGAGGGGCACGAGTGGACACGGACACTCCAGGTTGAAGACGATTCAGGTTTGCCCTCTCCTGCGGCAACCACAGCAACGCAAATGGAGGCATGAACGTTCATAGACTCGGGCAGAGCAAACCAAACGCACTCCAGGTTCCAGACATTTAAGGTTCGCCCTTTGCTGCAACAACAACAGTGTACTGTACGTTCAAAAGATGCAGACTCAAGAGTTGCAGGAGGGACGGGGAGCGACTATGTTTCTTTTCTAATGAGGTGGGACTTTTTTATATGCTGAAGCAGACAGCCGGTCTGCTAAGGACAGTCCTGTTTTTAATTTAAACCAAACCCATTTGCCAAGCCCTCCCCCCCCCCGCTTCCCTCGTTTCCCCTTCCTGTTCCCAGCCTTGCAAGGCTCTGCATAGCTGCTCTTCCCACAATGCATGGGGGCCGGTCTAGTGGCGAGGGGGGTCACAGTAGGAGCTGCAGCCAATCAGGTGACCTTCTTATATTTCCCCACCCTTCACATATCCTGATGTGTGTCTGTCGTGGGGAGGCAGCGGGAGCACTTGCCCCCCTGGAATCCTAAGTGTACTGAATCTGCAGTTGCAATGAAGAAACCTTGCCCTCTCCCCCAAGTTATTTCTGCAGACGCCCTTGCATTTTAAGGGATGGGAGTGCGGAGGTGCCATTCACGCTGAACTTTGGCTGGGAATGAGAATTAGGAGCAGAACCCAAGCATACTTGCCGTGCTATGGCCACCTTCATGAACTGAAGGTCTTTCAGCCTTTCATAGAATCATAGAGTCGAAAGGGGCCTCCGGGGTCATCTAGTCCAGCCCCCTGCACAATGCAGGAAATTCACAAATACTCCCCCCCACACACACACACCCAGTGACCCCTGTTCCATGCCCAGAAGATGACAAAAAAAACCCCTTCCAGGATCCCCAGCCAAACTGGCCTGGAGAAAGACAGCTTCCAGACCCCAAAGTGGTTGTGTAAGAAAGGGCCACAAGAGAACTAAGTGCTGATGCTACCCTTCCTGCCCTCCCCCTCCTGATCTGCCTATGTTCACAGAGTCAGCCTATGTGGGGCATGCCAGCAGATCCAGAGCTAATCATTCCTTAAACCCAAGGGGGAATGTTGTGCATTCCGGTGGGCATCCATGTGTTTTTTCAGCAACACCATCCCTGTTAAGCAGGGATAGCAGCAGATAAAGAACTGTGTGCCGTTACAGCCGTATCTCCCCCCCCCCCATCTTTCCAAACTTTCTCCCTTCATAAGGATTATACCTACACGGGACTGAGTTATTAGATTCACATTTTAAATAGAAAGCGCAGTTTACAGTTGGGACATCTGAAACAAGATGTCAGGTGTAATTCAACCACTGTTAGCCATTTCTAAGTTCTAAATGAATGGAATATCAAGTACTTGCCATTCTTAACCTAGCAAAATCATGAGACTGGGGCGGTCACATAGCGACATGAGCAAGTTTTGCGCTTGTTACATTCCCATTTCCCATTTTTCAGCCAAAACTGGATTCCAAAGCAGTTTGCACCAATTACAATGCAACACAGAGAGACAACAAAAGACACGCGGGAGAAGCGTGGTGTGTGCAGTTGCCTCCACGTGGATGTTTTGCTCTGACTTGGCTTGCAAACCCAAACACAGTTTTCCGGGCATCCGCGTGACCGTCGTTCAGTTATCTGCCTTCCAGGATTTCTGGCGTCGCTCCAGTCTTTCCTGAAAGATGGCGGTTCAAGTGGGTTTGCACGCTGTGTGGATGACAGGGTCACCATCCTTCAGGGAAACCTGGAGATCTCCCTGAAACAATCTCCAGACTACAGAGATCAGTTCCCCCAGAGAAAACTCTGTGGCGTTATACCCTGTTGAGATCCCTGCTCTCCCCAAACTGCAGTGAGCCTTCCCTCTGTTCCTTTCTCTCAAAGGCCACTTCCTGCTCAGCTGCTTGCCATCCAGCACACGGGAGGAGGGGGAGGACGGGAGGTAGCAAGCCAGTCTCTCTGGGTGGGGGGAGAATTCTCATCTCCCCCAGGCAGAGTGGGGGGTTTCTAAGTCCCTCTCTCTAAAGAATTGCATTGGAGGCTTTGTGGTTCTAACAGTGATATAGGCAGAGGTCATTTCGGGGGGGATCGCGGGGGATCGCAGTTCCCCCGGGTGAGGTACGGGGTGGCGAGGCACATGACGAAGCCCCGCCCCCTGCTTCAGGCTGCCCCGCTTCCGGCCCTCATTCAGCCAGGAGGAGGCAGGAGAAGAGGGAGGGTAAGTTGCTCCCTCCCTGCCTCTCCCCACCCCTGCCTGCCTGCCTGGGGCCAGGGAGGGCCTTCGCGGGGCTTCCTTGCACCCCCGCCGGCCTTGCAGGTCCACTGCAAGGCCCCTCATGTGGCTTGGCAGTGGAGCTGCAAGGCTGGCGGCGGCGGCCGGGACCGTTGGGGGTGGTGTGTGTGGCCTTATGACACACTTCCGGTGATGTCAGGGGGTGTGGCCTTATGATACACTTTCGGTGATGTTAGGGGGTGTGGCATATGCTAATGAGTTATGCTAATGAGTTCCCCTAGCTCTTTTTCTACGAAATGACCCCTGGATATAGGTATGCATGCCCTCAGACAATTTCCCCCCACAGTCACGCTTTCATTGGAAGGGGAGAGGGAATTGTCTGCTCCAGCTACAACAGAAGAAGAAGAGACTGGATTTATACCCCGCCCTTCCCTCGGAGTCTTAGAGCAGCTTCCAAACCCCTTTCCCGTCCCCTCCCCACAACAGACACCCTGTGAGGTAGGAGGGGCTGAGAGAACAGCTCTGACAGAACTGTGGCTTGCCCAAGGTCATCCAGCAGCTGCAAGTGGAGGAGTGGGGAAATCAAACTGACTGATGACATTGGTTGAATCCCATGCCGTGCTACCTCCTTCCCCCCCACACACACTACCTTGCGCCCTCTCCTAGTCCTCTCCCTCTGTCCTACCGGCCGAAACCCTGACTGCCCCTTTGCACTTGGCCACAGTGACTTTGCCTGCGATTACGTCAAAGAGAATTTTTTTCTGTAAAGGAAATTAACTCTGGGGAAAATAATAAAGGATGTGGGGGTGTTGCTTATTTTTTTTTATGTTTGTTGCTCCGTTGTGTACTAAAGCCTTTTTGTTAAAGGTCCCCCCCAAAACCAGATGTGGAAATTCATTGAAAAAGGTAATTCTGGATCAAAAGATAGGGAGGGGGAGAAACAAGTGTTCCAAAGAGAAAGTGATTTTTTTTTCCCTTTAAAAAAATTCACTAGAGTTGCCATCTTTTTAAATTCAGCCTGTGCTTTTAATCCAGAGAGTTCACAACAATTCATTGAAAAAGGTAATTCTGGATCAAAAGACAGGTAGGAAGGTGGGGAGGGGGAGAAATAAGTGTTCCAAAGAGAATGTGATTTTTTTTTCCTTTAAAAAAAATTCACCAGAGTTGCCATCTTTTTAAATTTGGCCTGTGCTTTTAATCCAGAGAGTTCACAACACGGTTTAATGCAGTAAAATGGAACACTACAGTTCACCCATTTTAACTTGTTTCAACACCAAAGTAACTTGAGCAGGTTTTCCCCTTGAATCTTCTGCGCTTCGCTTGGGCAGATGGTCTCAGTAGCTCTTAGGGAAGACCTTGCAGTTACCGCAAGCTGCCTTGCTGGGCCCAGAGGGAAAACAGTCCTCTCCTGAAGAGTATCACTGAGCACCAGCCCTGGGTGAATGCTATCCTGCTCCCACGATGGGAAGTTCCCCCCCCTGTCCTTTATCATCGTCATTGTTGGGTGTGGAGGGGGAACCCCTACTAAGTTGCCACTTGTCAGGCACAGAAAAAGGAGGACCAGTAAAAATTTGGTATGGCTGATGTGGTGGTGGTGGTGGTGGTGGTGGCAGGTGCTGTCCATGGAAGTTTCCCCCCATATCCTTTATCATCGTCATGTTTGGGGGAACCCCTACTAAATTGCCACTTGTCAGGCACAAAAAAAGGAGGACCAGTAAAAATTTGGTATGGCTGATGTGATGGTGGTGGTAGGTGCTGTCCATGACAGCCGACTTTGGGCGACTCCAAGGGGGTTTTCAAGGCAAGAAACGCTCAGAGGTGGTTTGCCACTGTCTGTGACCCTGGACTTCCTTGGTCTCCCACCTGAGAGGAATAGGAGACAGAAACTGGCTGTTCGTGATGACATAAGAGAGATTTCCCACCTCATCCTTGCTCCGGCTTGTGATGTCCCCGATGGTTCATACACAGTGTTCATCTCTCCAGGCATCTTGTGTTTCTCTAAGCCACAGCTTCAAGTTGGCAAAAAATGTGCGGGCCTCTATTCAAATGCAGCCTCCTCCTTCAGGCATAATGTAGAAGCGAAAAGGTACTATTCTGGGCAAAGGAATGCCAGAAAAAAAGGAAGGTATGCCCCAGCAGCCAGGGATTTCCCCATGAGGCCTTGTGGGATGCAGCTTGTAACTGCGGTGTGGGTTTCTCCTTTCTGATAATCCGGATTGATGGGAGCTTGGACAGAAGGGTGCTTAATACAGATGTTCCTCCTGTTGCTGAAGTGACCGGCTAGTTCAAGCTACATCTGGCCATCCCGGTCACAGCACAGAGAAGGAGCTACTGGCTGAGAAGGTTCTGCCTGACTCGCTCTGCTGCCTTTTGTATCTTGGGTGTCTCCGTTCTTCGTCGAGTAAGCATTCTGTGATGTCCTTCCTCGTAAGCCTGCACTCCATCTTGGCAGGCAGGACCTTGTATGTCTCAGAGGCAGCCAGCTGCCCTCAGTATGTCTTGCCGATCTCATCCTGGTACACGTGAGTCAATTTGATACGCTCCTTGGCCCTGAACGGACAGCAAAGTGTTATACCCAGATGGTAGGGTCCTTCTGCTCCACAGTTTCCTAAGAAGCAACCGTAAAAGAGTTCTCCATCAGGTACGTATCAGGGCAAGTCCACTACACACAGTCTGGTATTTGAGAATAAGGGTTCTCGTCCTCTTATTATAGGAATAAACCCGTCTTCACATTCTCAGCACACGCAGCAAGCCTGGTACTGAACTTACCGAGTTGGTTCTGTACCGATTAAAGGAATACACTTGGTATTAATGCTTTGCATGCAAGAGTGGTCAGACGACAGGTTCCATTCACACTAAAGGTTTGTCGTAAGAATACCCAGGGTTTTTCACACGGAGGTTTTCCCGTGGTTTTGGGTGCTGAGCTGCAGTCGTTTCCCCCTGAGCTTCCTCACAACATCATTTCCCTCCAGCTGTTGTCTCTCCACGGTTGCCGCGTTCTCCTTTGATGCTTTTCCAAACCACCTTCAATCCAGTCTGAGAAAGCACAGAGGGATGACGAGGACCCGTGGAAAGAGAAGAGGATTCCTGATTTTTTTCTTCATGCCTGCTGGGGGTAGAGTGTCCCTTCCTTCTGTACCCAAAAGAGACCCTCCCCCTTGGCTGAGTTTCAGGCAGGTTAATTCATCTCCCACCAGCTCTCAGAGGCTGCCTCCCTCCATCACATTAAGTCACCATCGAACCCCAATGCTCTTTGTTCGTTATACCCTTTGTACACCCCCCCCCGCATGATGTGCAAAAACAAACTTCTGTTGAAACGAAGTCCAATTGCCTGTGATGTCCAAATGTCCTCGTCCCCCCCACACACACACAAAACCAGGATCCTAAAATAGGGCTTAATGCCATCTGAGAATCCAGGTGCGTGTGAGGCAGCAAGCCAATTGTCTCAACCATTTTGCCATCTCGGGCAGCTGAAGACTGCTTTCGCACAGGTGCATCTGGGCATAGTGAACAAGTTATATCTGTGCCCACTGCACTAGACCGGAGCGGAAATGCAGTGCACTGTGATGTCAGAATGCAGCCAAAGGGCCAGTGTCCCACATAGCCGTCTGGGTAACCTTTTCAGAGGAGCTCTTGCCTTCAAGGCAAGTCCCAGGGCTAGCCTCTCTATTCCTGCTCTGGAAAGAAGCTGTGTGTGTATTAAGTGCCGTCAGGTCCAATGGTCCTTCTAAGCTGTGGAGTCTTGTGATTAAAAATTCTACTGTGTGAGCTACTGGCATTAAAGTTGTGAGCCAGCGATTCTGCTGCTGCAGAAATTAGTTGGCTCTGGAGCCCTCCTCCCTGAGCTAAGACAAAAATGTGTGAGCTGGAGGCTAAAAAACTGTGAGCTAGCTCACACTAACTCAGCTTAGAGGGAACACTGGTCAGGTCATTTCCGACTTATGGCAACCCCATGCATTAATGACCTCCAAAACATCCCATCATTAACGGCCTCGCTCAGGCCTTGCAAAGGTGGGCCGTGGCTGCCTTGACTGAGACATCTTCTGCAGGGATGGTTCTCCACGCCCCCGCATTTGTACGCCTCCGGGGCTCTCCCCTGTTCCGCAAATGTTTTTGCAGTTTCAGGGGCAAAAAACGAGGTCTGTCCCGTTCTGCCTCGCAGCACCAGACTTCCACGTTCCTGGGGATTCCCATGCTGCACCGCAAGAGGGAGCAAACTTCATTTTTGCTCCTGAAACTGCCAAAACATTTAGGGAGGTGGGGGAGAGCCCCGGAGGTATACAAATGCAGGGGCGTGGAGAGCCATCCCTGCGGAAAAACGTCCACGTCAAACCATCTCAGGTTGGGTCTTCCTCTTTTCCTGCTGCCTTCAGCTTTTCCTAGCATTATTGTCTTTTCCAATGAATGTTGTCTTCTCATAGTGTGGCCAAAGTTCAATGGCCTCAGTTTAGTCATTTTAGCTTCCAGGGAGAGTTCAGACTTGATCTGATCTAGGACCCACCCATGTGTCTATTATTCTTAAGGCAACAAAATGCCACTTATTTAAATGCCTTCTGAGCTCACTGGCATCACACTGCCACGGCAGCACGACTCGCAAGTCAACTAATTTAAATGGCCTCTGACTGCCCACTTGCGTTGTGCCGCCGCTGCAGCATGACTCGCCAGTTTACTCAGAAGGCATCTTCTGATGCTTTCTGAGCTCACTGGCGAGGCACACTGCAAAGGGTTCCCAACCGTTGGCTTGAGCGCCAGCACGTCTGGCCCACAAACCCTCTTACGAACTGAATGAACCGCCACAGAACCCATGGTGGTTCATGGGTGGTTCACAAACAGCGCGATTGTACAAACTGCGGTTTGCAAACGCATGAACCTACCGGTTCGTCATGAAATTCAGTTCGTGATTCGGTTCATGCCCATCCCTACCCGAGCGCTGCTCCCATTTTTAAAAAATCTTTCCAAACGAAAACTCAACCGTCTGCAAGAGAAAGCAACACTGAACCAGTGAGGAGAGAAAGAGGCCTTACCTCTCTGGGCCTTTGCCCTCTTACCGTGGTCTGCTGGAGGTAGGACGTAGCGTCGTGAACACTGACAAAAATCTGCTGCGGGCGTAGGTGATGCAGGAGGCCACAAGAGCGTAGGGTGCGCAGGACATTTGCTGTATGGAGAGGAGGAAACAAAGGGAGATGGTTATTGCGGGCTGGCATCAGTTTTTGGAGTGGGTGACTGGCATTTGAGAATGAGTCACTGCCAATCAAAAATCCACAGATAGAAATTTCCTAACACAAAAGGCTTCTCAGGCAAGACGATTCACACATTCATCAATGAGGCATCAAGTGATGGGGGGAAAATCAGGTGATTTACAAGCAGGTGTGAACTGACCCTTACTCATGTGGCAGCAAATAGGTGAAGAAACCACCCACCACTCCAACAGTCAGCTGATTCCTCAGGACTTAAAAAGGTGACGTGAAGAAAAGAACAAGCCTCAGTCCATAGGATGCAAGGGGCAGCCTAAATTTGAGTCATGGCTGAGCAGGGAAGACAGCAAGTGTGTGTGTGTGGGGGGGGGGGGAGTGATTAACCCTTCAACCCCCACACAGTTTTGCTATCCAAAACTGGGCTCCCTGTGGGGAGGGGGGGGATACATCTTTTTCCCCTTCAAAATGCTAATGGAGCGGGGGGAGCTAGTTTTGAATAGCAAAACTAAGCAGAGGTTGAAACACCCTCCCTTCCCTGCACAGCCCTGAGGCAAACTGAGGCTGCACACGTCTACTATTTGCGTTTTGTCAATGAGCGGTGTGATCTCCATCTGGTCACTTTGAGCCTTTTGTCTGGGTGGAGACAAAGGGTAAATACCAAAATACACCGTGCAACCAAACTGTTTTGGTATTTCTCCGGTTTGTGACATTGTGGTCCCCCTTTGTATTTTTGCTGGAGACAAAGGGTGGCCCCACACATAAAACATTAAGGTGTGTACCCAAGTCGTTCTGAAGGATACACCTAAAAAATTTAAAACGGCAAAGACCAAACTATCCACAGAAGTAGAGTTCCGGGGTCAGAACTGCCACTGTATAATTTGGCTCCAAGAACCAGCCACTCCCCCCCCTCATCAGCTCAAAATGGCTGGAGGCATGGCCCTGAGGAAACCACAGGGAAGATTCCCTGAGAAAGGACTCGTCACCCTGTGCATGGCTTCCCTGATCTAAACTTTTCCTCCTGAGCTGCTTTGAGATCCAGTAGGGGGAAAGGGCACGAACCATATGAGCATCTTTGTTTTCCCCTGCCAGGGCTTAAATCATGGCAGGTAGCGGGGCCCTTTTTCGTGCAAGGAAACGGCACTTTGATAGTGGTCCTGTCCATAGTCCTGGCTGCAGATTCTTTTCAAGGTTACACAAAATCTAAAGTTTCGGTGTTTAGTTTAAAGTCTCCAACATATCTTGGTACTAGAGGCAACGAACGAACATATCGTGCAGGCATACCAGCCAGGGAGCCAAGTCTGGCTACAGACCCCTGCTGAGCACCCAGCCAGTGGCACGCCTAGGCTCGCCTCTGCATAATGTGTGAAATGGACTGAAGAACCCTTATTTTATTGGCTAATTTAGTTTTTCCCCCCTCAAACGCATGCAAAAATACCACATTGCCTCCAAAAAATGAACTGGGACCAAGAGAGATCACCCACTCACCATTGCAAGCAGCCAAATGCACCTGCATGCCTGCTTTTTGGCATTCAATGCACACCTGCAAAGTAAGATCAGCAAAGTAAGATCATGGAATCTCAGAAACGCCCCCATGGGTCCCTCGCAGCACCTCCATCATTGTCTGAGAGCCCGGGAAGCTGTGATCTAACTCATTTGTGTGAAACTGGAAGGACCATGCCATCAAAGGAAGCCTCCAGACTTGTCAAACCGTAGTGTCCTCTGTGGCTGTTTGCACCAGGAGGAGATGTGGTCTTTATGTCACATCCTGGCATCGTGGGCCACTTCCTGGGTTTCCCCCTCCCCTCTACAAATCCTTGAGTAAGTCAAATAATCGCCAGTGCTAACACTGATCCTTTGGGGGTCTCCATCGTTCACCTCCCTCATAATGTGAAAATTGCCCGCTCATCATCTTTTAAGTTGACAGGTTTTGTTGGCAATTAACACAGCAGTGGCGCACAACCTGATTAAGAGCAGATAAGGTTTATTTATGGATGAACATACTTGATGGGAAAGAGGAGAGACAGAGATAGGCTCCTAACTACATCTCTAGCTGAGAGAGGGGGGTAAGACCGAGTGTGGCACTTCCGAGGAGAAGGGGGAAATTGCCCTGAGAGTAACCATCTGGAGACAGACAAGGAATGACACTCAACAGGAGAGAGAAGGTGCCGTCTTCGCTGTCCTGTCTAATTGTCTTCTTGCTGCCCCCTGCAGGGTCTTCTCTGCATCTTCTTTGTACACCAGACACTGCCTTTTCCGACAAGTTTAACTTAAACAGTGTTCATCCTTTACACTGAGCAATGGCTGATGGGGCCCAAAAGCAACACTGGCTGACTGGTCTCTAATGAAGGGAGCTTTGACTCTAGAAAGCTTCCACCCCGGGAATCTTGCTGGCACCTAAGGTGCTACTGGACTCAAACCGTGCTGCTCTACTGCAGGCCAACACAGGTACCCCCCTGAAACTGGCTGGTGGATTCACTTCTGTGCAAGGTGAGACACAGGCAAAGAGTGTCTGACTATACACGCAACCCACCAATACAGGTACATTTCCACAACGTGGGGAATACTAACTCCCTTGGGCATTTCGAAGTTGGACAGCCTGAGTGGATAGGAATTGAGCCCCCGCACAGCGAACAAAAGTGCCTGCTTGGAACTCCTGGTGCATGTCTGGCCAGATCTGGGGTGGGCACATTGCAGACACTTTTATTGGGAACATTTGGCTGTACAATCTCAGGAGAATATACAGTTGACCAGAGAGAAGTACTACTGGACATGTGATTGCACTGGAGGCTTCATTTGTATTTTTGTATTTCTTTTCTTTGCCCAGTGGTTAAACTTTGGAACAATTGGTTTCTGGTCTTTATTCCATATTTTGTATATGTATGATTGTATGTATTTTTGCATATCAGCCAACATGTTCTGTCTGTATTAGACCTCTGAGGAAGGCCTGTAAAGGCCGAAACACGTTAGGTCTATCTTGTTAGCCCTTGTATGTTTTTATATTTGTATATGAGGTAGGAATGGGCCCGTGTTTGTTATTTCAATTTATGTTGAATAAATACATATATATTTTTGTATGTTTCATAATTAGATTTTTAGAGTTGGCCCTCTTCTATTCTTGACTAACCTTTTTAGGTTCCGAATTCTAGGTTTAGGTTCAGTCTTTCCCCCTTTTTTCTTCTTTGTCCTTACAGTGTAACGTGTGGCCAGGCCCTAACGCGCTTCCTGGCATGCAAACTTTTCGCCTTGTGTGGCCCACTCGCAACAAACCCTCTGTGGGAAAGGATGAGCGAAGGAACTCTTTGAAAGCTCTTCTGTTTTGTTTCCTTGTGGGAGGAGCTAATGGCATGGATCCAGCCCCTATCCCACCACCTCACTGAACTAAGTTTGCTTATTTATTTATTTATTTATTTATTTATGTGTTTATACCCCACATTTCCTTTTGGCTCAGGTCTGAAGACTTCCTCTAAACTTAAGTGGCTCTCCCATTGGAGGAAGAGCCACTTAAGAAAGTTGGAGGAAGGCACCTTAGGCTGGAGGGAGGCTGCTTGAAGGATGGCTGGATCCACCCCAGTGCCCAAAGTGAAAATTCACTGCCAGCGAATGCAGCAACGGGCAGACAGCCTCGCGAAAGTCCCTGAACTGCTCCTAGTCAGGAAGACTAAAGGGAAGCTCTGGATACCAGTGCTACCGGGCAGCAACAAGGGAAGTCCCTGGCCTCTGTGCTCTGTTTGCTGGCCCTCCAGGGCAGCTAGTTGTCCAACCGTGTGAAACAGGATGCTGGACTAGATGGCACACTGGTCTTCACAGTGGCAAAGAATGCAAAAGGGAGATTCCTCGCCAAGTGGCTGCAGCCACGGTTAGAAGGAAGAACATCTGGACAGACAGGCTGGACTCCATCCCCACTGGAGGTTCAGCACTCGTTCTTTTTAGCTTGAAGGGTTTCTCCTCCCTCCGAATGGTACCTGGATAAGGAGACGTGCCCCGGCTGAATCGACAAAGGCCACTCCACTGCAGTCAAGGACCACAGCCTGTACAGCTGTATCTGGAAGTGCAAAGGAGACGGAGCACATTGTCAGCCACAATCCAAGGTGGATCTACAATCCTGAGTCCAGCAGCTCCAGTGGAAGTTAGTCAAGTACCACTCTAAACATGCTCAATGGTTTTCCCTTTACCAGCCAATTTTGGGGTAGAGGAAAACTTTTGCATTTGTGGAGTTTTGCCTCAAAGACACTCCCCCCCCTGCCCCCCAGCCCAGCCCTGACAACTCAGCGCAAGAAGTCTCAGTCCCTGAATCGGTACAGTGCACAAAAAAGACTTTAGCAAATTCTATGGCCACCATCACTGCCCGGAGGCAGAAATATCTTCTGCAGAATTAAATAAAAGGGGAAAGGTTTAATTCCTTCTTGACTGCATAGGAAAAGCTGATTTAACTGAAATTTTGACAAAGATGCACAACGTAAAGTAGGCATAACTGTATCCAGAAGTATCCTTTTTGTTTTGTCTATATTCACAAGTCCTGCCGACTTAGCAGTTCGAAAGCAAGAAATTGCAAGTCGATAAATAGGTACCACTTCAGTGGGAAGGTAACAGCGTTCCGTGCGCCTTGGCGTTTAGTCATGCCGGCCACATGACCACTGAAACATCTTCGGACAGCGTTGGCTCTTTGGCCTGGAAACGGAGATGAGCACCGTAACCCTAGAGTCGGACTCGAATGGCTTTCGAGCAAGGGAACCTTTACCTTTACCTTTATATTCACATGACGTTGGGACGTCCTGACTCTGTGTGGCCCCCACATCCTCCTCATGTGTCCTGCTGATGGACTGGGTCCCACAGAGCATTTCTGCTCATGGAAGGACTTCCTTGTCTTCCCCTTCCTGCTGCTGTCCAAAATGCCCACCAAATTTCTGCTCAGGAGTGTGGGAGGGGCCCCCTGTCCATAAGAAGCAGTATTTGGGGAGCATTTTGGAACTGCAGCAGGAGGAGAGAGGCAAGAAAGTTGCGGTCCACGGATGGAAGGATTCCTAGAAAGTCTCTGTGGGATTCAGACCCATCCAGCCACTAGCCGCATGATTCCAAACTGTCCTTCAAAAGCAGAGCAGAACAAGCACTGTACACATCTGAGCATATCCCAGGTGTAAAGTCTGAGTTCTCAGGTTGCAAAATCCCAGATTTCCCCACAACTACTCTGCCACTCCACAGTAGAGGACGTCCCCTGCTTCTCTGGTACACACGAGGGCAAAAGGGAGCATTCAACCTTTTCCCTGCCTGCCACTTTTCTCTACTCCAAATCACCTCCCGCTGCAGAGCTCAAAATGCCCAGGGCAATCCCTCAGGTGTAGGAAGAAAATCATCTTGGCATACCTGAGCCAGGTTTCTTGTCTAGGACAGAGACGCTGCTTTCCTAGGAGGAAAAGAGGAACAATTAAGCTTCGCTTAGGAGAAGTGTGGAGAAGTGAGATTCTCTGCTCTGTCTCCAATCCATAACCTGTTTACATGATTGTTTATCACAGGGCGTGAACTCTTAGATTCAACTCCACTTTTGTTTTGTTAATTCACTGGGATGGATCAGAGGGTGAAACACAGCCAGTAACGAGGCTGGGGCTGCGGATGGGGCTTGGATTCATATCCATGATAAGATCACCTAAACAATAGCCACTAGTGGAATTCACAGTCTGCTAGAAACATTTGTGTTTTCCATGAAGTAAACACCAAACTGCTTGTGCGATGATGGCGTCCTGTAATGGGAACTCCAGATGTGACATCTGGCTCTATACAGTTGTTTGAGGTGGGGAGGGCATTCTAGACGGGGTCTGTGGTGCTGGGCATGAGAGGTTAGCTTCCCCACCCCTCACTATTTTCCCAAATGGAAATCCTGCTCCCCCCAGCTCAATTATGCTAGATGTGGAGGCCTTTGTGCTGTCTCCTGTCTCAAACTTGAGAAGATGGCACCAAAGAGCTTAGACAGATAGAGAGGTCAGGACGCACAGAGCATCCTTTCCTTCCTGCTCTCTGAGCCTTTCCTTTGAAGCAGAATGCTACTCTTGGGGGCAATTTCCTCTGCTGCCGCTCTCACGCCGCCTTCTCTCTCGCCTGCACACAAGGAAGGAGCTTGATCTCTCCATCTTGCCCCATGGAGGCTGGACATGCGTCCAGCATCCGACACCATCTAGTTAGTAAGAATAGGTAATCTAAACCAGGAAAAAGAGGAAGGCCCAGGCCACTTTGCTGGTGTTGCTTAGGAAGTGACATCATCATGCCAGCAACATCGGGTCAACACTCTGGTATTTGGGCAAAAACTCTATGGTACAAGCCGTTTTTACTATAGAGTTTTTGCCCAAATACCAGAGCATTGCAGTGTGATAACATCACTTCTGGTGTGACGCTGGCAACGTGGCATGGGCCTTCCTCTTCCTCCTGGTACGTCCCTTACAATCCTTCACCCGTTGCCAGGGACCAAGCAGCCCTACCGTGCCCCTGTCTTCCAAGGTGAGGCAGGTGGTAACCAAAGACATTACCCTACTCTCTTTTACGTACTAGGCCAAAAGGTTTTTTAGTTATTTTAACAAAGGGGTTGATATTTTAACAGTGCTTTTATAGTCTGCTTCTAGCTCGAAAATTAGTTTATAAGACTCGTTCTAAGCTGTCCAATGTCATACACTCCGTCTTGGTCTTCAGTGCTGGGTTTTTAATAGTTTACTTATCATTAACAACTTTCATAGCATATTATGTTTCGTTGGTTGTAAGCAGCCTTGAGCTGGTTCCAAGGAGAGACATTTTATAAATAAACAAATCTCATATGAGGCTCTCTTACTCTGAGCAAATACATGAAGAACTGTGACAGTACATCAAATCACTGTAATTCAGGGAACATGCTGAATGCATACCCTCATGCAAAACTAATAATAAAGTCAACTCTGGTGGCTAAAAGGCTGGTTATGCAGGAGAGACATCAGAAGTCCCGACGTCCTCTTTAACGCTGCAAATCGGCAGTGTTAAGGTGGGTTCTGATTTGGATTGGGCTGATGGTGCTAGAATCCTCAGTACCACCACCAATTTTCTGTTGTTGGAGCTTTCCAAAGAGTAGCAATTGTGGTCTTGGCAGCGTCGGAATCACTATTTAATAGATTCTGTTTCAAGCAAACTAGACACTACTTCTCAAAGCCCAAAACATCAACGGTTTGTTGAAAAGTGGTACCCAATTTTAGATTATCTATCTCAACAACAATTTATCTCCTCTGAATGGTCCCAATTCTATAAGTGGATTTAACAAGGGTTTTTTTTTTCCCTATTGAACCGAAGGCTCATGAATACATATCTTCTGTACAGAAATATGGTAACATTATCCTTAATTCCTGTAGTGTGTTTTTCAAATGTATGTTGCACCGTTATTATTATTATTTATTTTCCTTGTTTAGCTACTTCACTGTATATATGTTTTAATATTATACTATTTAAATTATTATTATTATCATTTTATTATATATATATTAGATACCAGACAACAACAAGTTTTGAGGTTTGTTCAATGTAAGTTGTCCAAAGCTCTAAAAAGAAGCAGTTCTGAACATAATTACTTGAAAATATGCAAAATTTACATATGTTAAGATGTGTGTATTTAAGCATGATTTTACACTGTTCTCGATTTTACTGTTGGAATGGAGGTTTTTGAGCACTTTATTTGTATCGAGATTGGTTTTAAATTGTATAATATGTTTTAAATGTATCAAATGTATATGATGTTTTATTATTGCAAGATTGCTTGCTGTGTAAGCCGCCCTGAGCCCTACGGGGGAGGGCGGGGTATAAATTTGATTAATAAATAAATAAATAAATAAATACTTGAAAATATGCAAAATTTACATATGTTAAGATGTGTGTATTTAAGCATAATTTTACACTGTTCTCGATTTTACTGTTAACCTTTTGTCTAAAAACAATAAAAATCTTTAAATTAAAAAAAAGTACCACCACCACCCTGCCCACTAACTCACCACAGTGCTGATGTGCATCTTGATCTCTGGGCCTCGATCCTCGTACGGCTCCCGCTCCTGGCTCAGCCCTACTAGACGGCTCACAGCGTCACGGAAGAAACTGCGGTTCCCATAATAGATGGGGGCCTGGTAGCTTAAAATCTTCACCCCTGGGATCTCGAAGCACTGCAAAATAAGGAGGGGGGGGAGAGAAGAAGGGACATGGGATCCATTACTGTGGGCTCCCGTGGGACCTCCGGCCTCTGAGAGACACTGCCCTCCAACCCCCGCCCCTCAGGCACGGCACTTTAAAATACATTCGTAATTCTTTTATATTGCTTGTTGAGGTATAGCCCGTGAAAGAATATGCCTGTGAAATATAAACTGAAGTTCTGGAAAAAACAGTGGATGACAGTCTACTGCGATTTCACCCCCAAATCTATTCCAATGAGTAATAAAACAAACCCATCTTATTTCAAAATGGGGGAATGTGTCTTAAACACTTGGGCTGCACCTGCACGTCATGCTTAGCCATAGTTTTGTTGGAGTGAGCGACTCAGCATGCCTGGACATGGGAGGGGGGTTGCTACATCACTCCAAGGGTGTATGGGGGTTATCTCCTTGAATGGGATGTCTCTCTTTGTCTTCACCTGGGAGCTGCGTTCTGACCCCTCCTTTCTCTCTCTCTCTCTCTCTCTCTCTCTCACTCACTCCCTTTGTCCTCTCACTTCCCCCACATGGCCTTCCATGGAGACACAGGCCTCTGCAGGTCTCTCCTGTGGAAGACAATGCCTTCCTACTCCCTCACACGTGATGCCAGACAAACTGGCCATTTGTGAAAGGTAAAGTACTCTTCAGTCTTCTTTCAACCACAACCTGAATGGGAAATGGATCTATGTGAATAAACGTAAGGTTTACTTCTTTGCAATATACTTCTTGGGAGATTTATTTACTGCACTCAGTAGCAAGTTTCCGTGACTGAGCAAAACTCTTCCATGGCTCCGATCGCACCACCGAGGAACTGCGGGCGGGAAGCGAGGCTGTTTGCCCCGGGGCGAACTGATGCGCGTTTGCGCGGTCAGACTTCTGCCTGCCTGTCCTGCAGTTCCGCATAATACTTACCTTTCCCTGGTAGCTTTTTGCACCGCTCCTGCAGCGCAACGAGATGCCCCGCCAACGACTCCGGGACGCCAGACAGATGTGTCTGTCTGATCGCGTCCCTTTAATCTGTGGGGCAATCGTTTGCCTGCCGCAGCTTCTGCTCCGTATGATCGCAGCCTATATTAACCAAATATCCCAATAAATTAAACTCTAACTTGCTAGAATGGCCTTGTAATGTATCCAGTCCAGACAAGTCCAGACAAGTTCAGAGACAAACGTCGAGCTTCGCTCCAAGAGACAATGGACTATGCGGATCCTAGCCCGCTCCAATCAGGGGGCTGGGTTCCCGGCCGAGAGCCTATGGGGCTCTTGGCCACTCTAAATAACCTATAGGGAAGTAGGGGTGTGTTTTGGGTGGCGGTTTCTCTAAGCCGGCCTGCGAGCCGGCCAAAGTTGTCTTGTTCCTGATTGAATAAAGTACGCTTTGCTGAAATCACTCTCCGTCTGCGTACTTTTCAGGCCTCCTCCCCTCTTCCCCCTCCTCAGAGGGTATCAGAACCTTCTGAGCGCAAAGTCAAGGCTTTCCCACAGATCTACAGTCTTTCCACATGTGAAAACAATCTCCAGTTGCCTATGATGTCCAATGCAGGTGCCTGGCTAAACAAAAGGCGAGTTTCCCCCTCCCAAACGATTAATTCCAAACAGGTATTGACAAAAATGCTTTAATACAGGAGGGGGTGGGGAAGGCATCTTACAACAGATGTGTTCAAAACTGGATTTTATTTATAGAGCATCTGAGTGCTTTTTTTCATGATCGTGCAAAACGGGACGTACTGTCTTCTCTGATACAATCCTCCTCCTCACCCAGTGGAGGCACTCAAGGGTTTCCCAGCATCATAATCAGGCTGACTTGGGTCACTACACCACCCTAGATCTTACCAGAGTTTATCAGGTAATATAACTCACACACACACTTCCAGATTTGATACCTCTTGAGGCAGTCAGCCTAGAAAAAAGCCCTCTCGACACACACACACACCCCGCCCAAGCCTATCCTCAAAATTCAGGTTTCACTAATGAAATCAGTCTACGGAAGTCATGGTCTTGGTTCGCTCCCTCCTCCCACTGAAATGATGCTTAAGGGTAGTTAAAACTTGGGTAGCTAAAATCACTCCAATCATTATTTGCACCTATAGCTTATTTGCCGTTGTATTCTCTTTATACCATCTTTATTGGTTCAAGGTAGTGATGGGGTTTAGGACTGTTTTCCAATTAGAGCTCCAATTATTAGGATTGTAAGAACCTGTGAGGGGAAACCATGGCACCACCCTTTAAGAAGATTTAACAAGTCACACCAGAGCAAACTATTTATGCAGCGGCCAGATCGCTCCCTCACAGCTTCAATGCCAGGAGCTCACAAAGTAGAATTTTTGCTCACAAGCTTAGAGGGAGCGTTGTTCATAAGCATCTGCCTTGCAACTGAGAGATCTTTAACTGTTTGCAAGTACCGTACTTTTGGAGTTCAGTGTCATGCAGTTCCAGTTAGTTCTGTTGTTTTCTTTGCCATGCTGAAGACTGAAAATATGTACTATGTTCTTTTAAACTTTTCCTTATTGAAATAATTTCTCCTTATATTTTAACCGATGCGGTCTGCTTGTGGTGCAATAATATCCTGGGACCTATGCATTTTCTCAGGTTTCATGGGGTTTGCTCGGTTTGAAGCAGTGTGACTACCCAGGGTAGTGGTTTGATCCCAGAGAATAGTTTGGACCTCAGCGGTCTGGGGGTCCACGACAATGGAGGAGGCTGAGCTGCCCAGAGGGGACCCCAGAGCACTTCATTCATTCCCAGGGTCCAGGAGAACGTGTTGCTTTTGTGGCTCGACATCTCTGCCGCATCAGCCAGTTCCTGGATTGACCTGCAGCTCCTGAATTTACCTGCTGCTCCTTCCATCCTCTCTGTCCCGAAGGAACAGCCTGGTGCTGCAGCTCTGTCATCAAGTGAGCAGGGGCCCGGAGCAATGTTCCCTCTAAGCTGTGGAGTCTTGTGTGCAAATATTCTGCTTTGTGAGCCGCTGGCATTAAAGTTGTAAGCGAGTGATTTGGATACTGCATAAATTAGCTTGCTCTGGAGCCATCCTTCCTGAGCTAAGACAAAAATCTGTGAGCTGGAGGCTAAAAAACTCTGAGCTAGCTCACACTAACTCAGCTTAGAGGGAACACTGGCCGGGAGAGTCTACCATGGCCACGTCCAGGTCTCCTTGGACCTGCATGATGTATGTTTCCATCTGCATCTTGCCCAGCCTTACCTTGCTGTTTTCCTTGATGGGCCTGTAGATCTCTGTGTCAGCCGCCCTGCCCAACACCAAGCATTCAGCCCTGTAGGCAACATCAATAATCAAACCAGGCTTGAACGTACGCGTGCAGAGCTTCCCCAACACCCCAAGCAAGCACAGGTTCTTCAGGAACCAGAGGCTGTTTCCTAGTTTCCTCTGTACAGGCCCATTCTGAAGTTAACTTTGCGGCACAGGGTCTGCTTGTAACATGGCTCCTTCCTGTCTTTTAAGCGATGAAACATGTCAGTGTTTCCTACTGCAAGTATAGCGTGCATACTGCCCTAAGGGTAAGAAGCCCGATAAAGGGCCAATATTAAAAAAAACTAGTGCAAAACTGTTATATGGAAGAAGAAACTGGATTTATACCCCGTCCTTCACTTGGAGTCTCAGAGCAGCTTACAATCTCCTTCCCTTCCACTCCCCACAACAGATACCCTGTGAGGTAGGAGGGGCTGAGAGAGCTCTGAGAGAACTGCTCTTTCAAGGACAGCTCTGACAGGACTATGGCTTGCCCAAGGTCATCCAGCAGTTGCAAGTGGAGGAGTGGGGAATCAAGCCTGGTTCTCCCAGATTAGAGTCCACACACTTAACAACCACACCAAACTGGCTCTACAAAAACACATTTATTTATTAGAAAAAACAGTTTGACCTCTGAAGAAAGCCCCCAAGGGGCGGAAACGCGTCAGGTCACTTGTATTGGCCCTGTTGTTCAGGTCACTTGTACTGTGTAATGAGGCTTTCATTGGGCCCTTATATTTTTTTAACTGTCTTTCTAATAAATACATGCAGTTTTGTATATAACAATTTTACACTAGGTTTTTAATACTGGCCCTTTCTCGGGCTTCTTTCTTACCCTTGTGGTTCTGGATTCCAGTTTGCTTTCCCCTCCCTGTGTCTCACTGCATACTGCCCTAACCGAAAAAAATAGCAACTTGATCCTATTTTGATCAATCGAACTGATTCCACCAATGAAATGCTGCAGCCCTGTTTTTATCACTTGGAGGGTACGAGCCCAAGAAATAGTTCCACGTTCCTTGCGTCAGATCGTGCCTTCGTCTTTGACGTCTGAGAAGTAGCCATTGACTAGATGTCAAAAGTATGGGTGATTGATATATTACTTGCACTTAGACATCATCTGGCAGGCAAATGGCTAAATGCAGATTATTTTAATCAATACAAGGATTAAAATATAGACAACTAATCACCTACGTTTCCTTTAATCAGGCAACAGTACTAAAGGAAAGGATTTTTTTTTTGTGAGTATTGTGTGTGCGCGTGTGTGTGTACGCCTGTAAGTCTGTCTTCTTGGTGCTTGGAGGGGGCAACAGTGGGAGGGCTCCTAGTGTCCTGGCCCCACTGGTGGACCTCCTGATGGGCACCTGGTTTTTTTGGCCACTGTGTGACACAGAGTGTTGGACTGGATAGGCCATTGGCCTGATCCAACATTGGCTTCTCTTATTATGTTCTTATGTTCTTAAGTCATGGTTGACTTCTGGCGACCCCTAGTGGGGCTTGGACATTTCAGAGAGGTGGCTCACTATTCCTTGCCTCTGCATCCCAGTCCTGGTCTTCCTTGGAGGTCTCCCATCCTAGAACTTGCCAGAGTATACCCTGTTTAGCTTCTGACGAGATCGGGCTTGTCTGGGCTATCCAGGGAACGCTAAAGGGAAGGATCCTTGCTGTATCCTACCATATTGCTTTGTTAATGGCAGCACCTGCTTCCAGCAAAAAGAGCATTCTGCCAGCACAAGAGGCTGCTCTGCTGGTGGAAGAACCTTGGGGGGCCCCCCAGAAGGCTCCTTGCGACACAGAAAAGATGCTACCATTCACAGAACAAAGTCATACGATCAAACAAATAGGTCTGTTTGATAACTATGTACACATTGCAACCAACCCCTTCAATTTTGGGTCCATCAGGAATATATTGTACTGCTCCTGGCAGTGAAAAGGGCTGACAAGTCGCAGACAATTTATGGCAACAGCACACAGTTTTCAAGTTTGCCACTGCCTGCCTCTGAGGCGTGCCCGTGGCCCCTCCTTGGTGGTGTCTCCCATCCAAGTGCTCACCAGGGCCAACCCTGCTCAGGTTATGAGATCTGACGAGATCAACACCTAAAAGATGACTGAATGATTGGTAACTTGGTCCCCAGCACTGAAGCAGCACACTTAGTTGCTGGTCTGTAGTAGTTAACATGGGGCCCATGGGGCCCGGCTCCCTAGTGTTTCTTCTGGGCCCTCTCCCTCCTGGGCTGCCCCCAAAGTGCTCCAACTTACCACCTGCACTGTACTTTCATTTAATTAGCTGCCCCCCCCGAGGCCCCCTCCCAAAGAATTCTCTAGCTACGGGGCTGCTTAGTTGGGGACCTCCCAATACAGAGGGGTATAGAGACAGAGACAGTATACGGGAACCAGGAAGCAGTTAGACCTTTGTCTGGGGCAATGCCAGCAACATTATTCCAAAGAGATCCTGATTGCTTCCACACGGGGAGTGAGTTGGGTTGTTTTTTTTAGCATCCCTATGTCATCATCCCGTAATTGTCTACTCCCCAGTTTTTCCATTGCTTTGCTTTAAGAACCTAGATGGCTAAATGAATCCAAATTAAAGTGCCCAATATTTGAATAAATGAATGAATATAGAATATAAGTATACATCAATTATTACAAGATATTTTTAAAAAACTACAAGCCCTAGTATAGCTTCAATTTAGATTAAAATCATACAGTACTTTCAAATAAAGACCTTATGCAACCCTGATAGGGTTGCCAGGTCTGAGTTGGAAAATACCTGGAGACTTTGCGGGTGGATCCGGGAGAGGGTGGGGTTTGGGGAGGGGAGGGGCCTCAGCAGGGTACAGTGCCATAGAGTCCACCCTTCAAAGCAGCCATTTTCTCCAGGGGAGCTGATCTCTGTCAGCTGGAGATCAGTTGTAAAAGCGGGAGATCCCCAGGCCCCACCTGGAGGCTGGCAACCCTAGACCCTGACCAAGCACATTTCGGCCTTCTGGCCTTCTTCAGGGGTCAAGCATAACAATTCCACAATGGCTCCAGGCATTGCAGAAATATTGCAATAACTAATCAATATAGGACCAAGTTGGAACTGAGTTTTAATCTGTGGGTTCAGGCAGAGATAATCTTAGGAGGCCTCCTTTAAAATCACCTTCTGTCCAAGTCAGGTACATGTATCCTGCATGGTAGTTCAATTGTGTACCTTCCTAATCTCGGTCTAAGGAAATCTATCCAGAGTGCAGTATGGAACCAATGTGGTGTAGCAATGTATAGTGGTTAGGTTAAGTTTTTTCTTCCCTACTTTTTGTTCTCGTTTCCTTTCCTTTGCTCCAGCCTTCCCCAAATGTGGTCTGATACAATCTTTCGGGTAAAGATCAGTCAGAGTGTTTTGACGTGGCATGTTGAAGGAAAGTGCCCCTTTCTGGAGGTCCCGCCCCCACCGACACCCCCATCCTTGCTTGCCCACGGCTGCCATTTCCCCGCCATCACCAGGAGCTGGTAGCGATAGCACTAAACGACAGCAATACAGCAATTGCTGATTTAAACTATACCTTAAGCTACAGAGCTAGCTTAGCGTGCCCTGACCTAGATTACCCAAGCTAGCTTGATCTCATCAGATCTCAGAAGCTAAGTAGGGTTAAAGTAAAGGTAAAGGTTCCCTTGCTCGAAAGCCAGTCGAATCCGACTCTAGGGTTGCGGTGCTCATCTCCGTTTCCAAGCTGAAGAGCCAGCGCTGTCCGAAGACGTTTCCGTGGTCATGTGGCCGGCATGACTAAACACCGAGGCGCACGGAACGCCGTTACCTTCCCACTGAAGTGGTACCTATTTATCTACTTGCAATTTCTTGCTTTTGAACTGCTAGGTTAGCAGGAGCTGGAACTAGAGACGGGAGCTCACTCCGTCATGCAGCAGTCGGGTCTCAAACTGCCTGCTGAACTACCAACCTTCCACAGCCTGAAGTTCAGCGTCTTAACCACTTGAGCCACCGCGGCTCCTTTAAGTAGGGTTGGTCCTGGTTAAAAATTGGATGGGGGGGCCACTCTGGAATAGCAGGGTCGCTATGTAGAGGCCGGCGATGGCACCCCACCTCTGTTCCTCTCTTGCCTTGAGGATGCTACGGGGTCATCATAAGTCAGCTGTGACTTGACGGCACTTCCCACCACCATAGCTTAGAGTCCATCATTGTTGCATCGGATATTTTGATTACCATTTTTTTGGAAGCCCCCCAAAGCCTTCTGGTGGTGTGGGAGAGGGAAGGAGGAGGAGGAGGAGATTGGATTCATACCCCGCCCTTCACTCGGAGTCTCAGATATGCATAACCAATGCAATACTTTAGACGCCAAAGAGGAATCCCAGTGGGGATGTAGCTGTGAGTACGTGTGACTAGGAAGAGATGGGTGTTGCAATGGGCCCCATGTCCACCAGCTTGAACTTGAAGTTGACCTTGTGGCTCTCCGGCCACTCTCAGTCCCAACAAGGGGGCATCTGATTCCATTAGGTGACCTAAGACCGGCTGGAGGACTGGACCCAAAGGGGGAGGCTCGGCATGCAAGTACCTCTGTGTGCGGCACACCACAGTCATCATGGAGAATACCACTCCCACTGCCAAGCCAAGGTCTACGTTGATCACAACCACAGAGAGCCACGTGACCACCCATACAGCCTATGAGAGATGAGAAAAGATGTTAACAGAGTCACAGGGAAAGGGAAGCGAAGCTTAGAAATAGGAGGTATAAAGCTGAGACAGCCCTCTCCCCCCAACATCTATTATGAGTGTTGCCAATGTTCCCTTCTAAGCTGTGGAGTCTTGTGAGCAAAAATTCTCCTTTGTGAGCTGCCGGCATGGGTCTTACCTCTCATCCTTTCCCCACTTAGGTTCAATTCATGCAACCACGTCCTTCTGGTCCTTCTGCCACCGGGTAGTTTTTGAAATCCCACCAGGTAAAATCTACATGGAAGGCCTTATGAAAAGGCCTACTGTTCCATGACAGTAACGGTTTTCAAAAATCTGGGTCCAGAAGTCATTTTGGGGAGTCTTACCTCTCATCCTTTCCCCAGTTAGGTTCAATTCATGCAACCATGTCCTTCTGGTCATGGGGTAGTTTTTGAAATCCCACCAGGTAAAATCTACATGGAAGGCCTTATGAAAAGGCCTACTGTTCCATGACAGTAACAGTTTTCAAAAATCTGGGTCATTTTGGGGGGGATCGCGGGGGATCGCAGTTCCTCCGGGTGAGGTATGGGGGCGGGGCACATGACGAAGCCCCGCCCACTGCTTCCGGCCTCCCCATTGGGGGCGGGGTGTGTGGCCGTATGACACACTTCCGGTGATGTCAGGGGGTGTGGCCTTATGACACACTTTCGGTGATGTCAGGGGGTGTGGCATATGCTAATGAGTTATGCTAATGAGTTCCCCTAGCTCTTTTTCTACGAAACGACCGGTCATTGGGGGGGGGTCATCCAAAAGGTGGTCCCATTTAAAACTCCACATGATCTCAGTGGAGGAGATGTTGACCATGCCACGACTGTCTAGTATGATGAGGCCCCTAGCTGTGCCCATGATGCAAACATCAGAGTCCTGTGGCACCTTAAATTCTAACAAATTGGGATAGCATGAGCTTTTTATAGGCAAGACCGTAATTCATCAGACATATTATACATGTTGGTTACTTTTGCTACAACAGATTTGACCATAGTAAGTGGAATCTGAAATACTGCAAATTAAAAATTAGATTTTATCTAAAAATATATTCTCGGTTCTCTAGCCTGTGGGCACTTCTTAAATTTTGAAAAGGTAGTGCATGCCACCACAAAATGGCTGTCCTGGGTTACCAGTGCCAATCCACAAAATGGCTGCCATGGGTTCCTGGGACTAAACCAATCCACAAAATGGCTGCCATGGAGTGCTTGGACCAATCCACAGAATGTTGGGAGGTTCCAAGCCATGCACTATCCTATGATGGAGGATGCTGCTTCTGAATCGGTGCCCCTTTCAGACCCAAAGGTAATGCCTCTTGCGCTCTTCTGAAGAACCTCCTGCACCAAGGTAGTGGAAGAAAACTGAGATCCACTCTTTGCTTTGGGGAAGAGGCATTGTCTGGGTTTAGAGAAGGAGTTGCTCTCTGCAAGATCACAGAAAAAGGTGAGGAAGTCTACAACTATGGCCAAGTCAAGGGTGACTGGTTGAATGAGTTCAGCACTTTGAGAGTCAAGCAACTGTATTTTTCTATTCCATTCAAGATTGTTAAGATTTTATCCTCAAGATCCAAACAGCAAGAGGGCACTGGGGAAACACTGGTGGACACCATCGTGACCACAGGCACCCAAGTGGAGAGCACTCGTCTATTCCAGTTGCAAAGGCCTAACCCTTATGTAAACACTTTTGGGGAGGGGAGAAACCCATGCATTACTTGATGTCCAACAATGATTGGCCCGTCCCCTGCTTACAAAGTCAACACGGCTGATCCTCCACAGCTCAGGCAGGTCCTGGAACTGCAGGAACATCTGACGAAGGCTGGTGACGTTGATGCACGCCAGGACAGCCTAGATGTAAAAGAGAAGCCCACTGTTAATATTCATGTGTTTTATTTTTTTTAATCTCATCTGTTCTCCCAGAAGCTCAGGGTGGTGTCTTTGGCTTTCCTCCCTCTTCTCCTAACAATTCCATGACTGAGAGACCAAGGACATCTAGGGACCTCTATAAGTGAGTAAGGATTTGAACTCGGGTCCCCCCAGACCTAGACACTGCAATCACTTCTCCAAACTAGGAGCCAAAGCCACGCATTTACAAGGTCTTTTTGTTTGTTTGTTTGTGAATGACACGAGGACTTTGTATCAGATGCATGATGGGAGTTTTGTGCCTTCCAGACGCATTTTCTGCTCATGACCATGGCATATGGGGGGAAGCTTCAAGAGGGGAATAGATAACATATGGAACAGAGGTGATATGATACAGGGTCACAAAATTATGCATGGGATAGAGAAGGTAGAGAAAAAAGAACTTTTCTCCCTTTCTCACACTACAAGAACTGGTGGGCACTTGGTGAAATCGATGAGCAGTAGGCTTAGAACAGATAAAAGGAAGTACTTCTTCACCCAAAGAGTAATTAGCAAGTGGAATTCATTGCCGCAGGAAGTGGTGGTGGACAGAAGCATAGATAGCTTCAAAAGGGGACTGGATGAACATATGGATCAGAGGTCTATGAGTGGCTTTTAGCCACAAGGTACAGATGGAACAGGAGCTGTGGTGGCTCAAGTGGTTAAGACGCTGAACTGCAGGCTGTGGAAGGTCAGTAGTTCAGCAGTTCAAGACCCAGGTTGCCGCATGACAGAGTGAGCTCCCGTCTCTAGTTCCAGCTCCTGCCAACCTAGCAGTTTGAAAGCAAGAAATTGCAAGTAGATAAATAGGTACCACTTCGGTGGGAAGGTAACAGCGTTCCGTGCGCCTTGGTGTTTAGTCATGCCAGCCACATGACCACGGAAACGTCTTCGGACAGCGTTGGCTCTTCGGCTTTGAAACGGAGATGAGCACCACAACCCTAGAGTCGGACTCGACTGGCTTTCGAGCAAGGGACACCTTTACCTTTACCTTACAGATGGAACACTCTGTCTGGGGCAGTGATGTTCTGTATTCTTGGTGCTTGGAGGGGCAACAGAGGGAGGGCTTCTGGAGTTCTGGCCCCTGCTGGTGGACCTCCTGAGGGCACCTGGGTTTTGGTCACTGTGTGACACAGAGAGTTGGACTGATTGGGCCACTGGCCTGATCCAACATGGCTTCTCTTATGTTCTTAAGCCCATGGCTGAGAAGCCATGTTTCAGCCCTTGTCTCTTAGGAATGGCCTGGCCACGTCAAAGGCAGCAGCTGCTTTGTTTGCTTCAGAATTTATGCAGCACAACCCTATGCACAGCTGAAGACATCTGAGCTCACTGATTTAAATGGGCTTTGATGTATCTGTATGGGACCGGATGGAAACCTAGCACCTCTTTCAGCAATTGTCTAGCAAAGGTGCATCAAAGAGGGTAGCAAAGAGAGAAATAAATGTCCATGGCCCCGGTCACATGAACGGTTTTGGGCCGGGAGAGGGACGGATCGGGGGCACAGCAAACGGGCGCGATCCCACCGCAACATCTGGGAAGCGTTGCGCACCCGTCCCCGATCCGGCCCTTCACCCGAAAAGCCGCAGCAAAAATAAACCACCTACCAAGGTGGTTTTTCCAGCACGCCGCATCAAAGCCTGGCCGTGGGATCGCCGGCGCGTCCTTCTGCTGGCGAAACCCCGGCTCCTGGCTGAACTGCGCATGCTCAGACATGCACAGTTCGGTAGTCTCCCTTTCCCCACCGTGGCTTCCCCCGGCATCTGATCCTGCCGGCGAGGGAATGCGCCGCGGCTCAGGGGATCAATGTGATCCCCCCGCCACGTGTTTCTTTTGTTGAGGCTTTATAAAGCCGCACTTTCGCCCGTTCCCCCCCCCCCCCGGCAGGGACCCATGAAGGGCATTACATACCTGCATTTAGAGTAAGTTGCAAGAATTGATCAAACTTGCCTGCATATCGTTGGCAGGCACAATTTATTCTGGGATCGGGGGGGGGGATGGATGGATGGCCTTCTGGGTTCTCCCTGTCCCCACCCTCCCACCTGACTCACCTTCGGCAAGTAGTAGAAGAGCGGCCCGATCCACATCAGCACAACCAGGACCACCGCGCTCGTGAAAAGACCAGAGAGCTGCAGAAGAGCAAAAGAGGTTAAGTTATGCTGGAGTTGACAGATGGGTCATTGGGGGGGGGTCATTGGAAACCATTGGAAACTTAGTACTACCTGACCCCAGGGAGGCAAAGAATATGCCAAGTACTCTAAAGAGTAGAACTCAAACTAAATTGGAGCCCATCCCCAGACTTACCTGCCTATCATACAACCAGACCAATAAGAACCCAAAATTCACATACTCTTCCCTTCTGCACTTATGATCCCCGTTTTGTTACAGATGGTGTCTCTCTCTCTCTGTTTTTAGTGACTACGTAACAGACAGAAGTCACCTAAGGAAGTTCTTTCCACAGCATTAGATGCAGCAACATAAAAAGTTACTCTGGCTGATTTCTGCCAGTTATGCATCTATTAAAAGCACTGAGTTTTGTCCATATCGTTCAGCAAGCCTCATCTTGCAAGTGACAACTGGGGCTTGGATTAGGGTTGCCAGTTCCCCCCACCCCACCCCAGTCGCTGGCAGGGGATGGGGAATAGGGTTACCAGCTTTGGGTTGGGAAACTCCTGGAGATTGGGGGATGAGACTTGGGGAGAACAGGACCTCAGTGGCATCATGCAATTCCAGAGAGTCCACCCTCTAAAGTATCCATTTTCTCCAGGGGAACTGAACTCTGTAGTCTGGCGATGAGCGGTAATTTTGGAAGGGTCCCTAGGTCCCACCTGGAGGCTGGCATCCTTAGCTTGGATCCCTGCTGCCTGCAGTAAGGTAAAGGTAAAGGTTTCCCTTGCTCGAAAGCCAGTCGAATCCGACTCTAGGGTTGTGGTGCTCATCTCAGTTTCCAAGCCGAAGAGCCAGCGCTGTCCGAAGACGTTTCCACGGTCATGTGGCCGGCATGACTAAACACCAAGGCGCACGGAACGCTGTTACCTTCCCACCGAAGTGGTACCTATTGATCTACTTGCAATTTCTTGCTTTCGAACTGCTAGGTTGGCAGGAGCGGGAACTAGAGACGGGAGCTCACTCCGTCTTGCGGCACACTCGGGTCTCGAACTACTGAACTACTGACCTTCCACAGCCTGCAGTTCAGCGTCTTAACCACTTGAGCCACCACAGCTCCTGCTGCCTGCAGTAGGCATTGGCAATTCCACTCACGGAACAAAGGGACGGTGTGTTTCACCAGTTCCCCCCTCACACTGCAGCCCTCCCCCTCTGGCACTTTAACCCCCCCTATGATGTTCCAGGGGGGGGGCACTCACTGAAGCATGGGAACCCAATTTCAAGAGGAAGAGGAGCCTGCAGTGGGAAGGGAAGGAAGTCACTGATTACCCAGCACAACTCTGCTGTGTGGGATCCAAGCCCCCAAGGTTGCAATGTCATTTTCCCTCCCTGACATGTGCCTTGGTATAGTCCATTAAATGAACTCTTCCCTGCTCCAGTACTGGATCTTCATGTTGGGGGGGGAAGGAGAGAGAAAGGAAGTTTCTCTGGTAGAGCCCTGCCGAGGGTGGGGGGAGAAAAACCCTGCCTTAATCCCAGCATGCAGCTACTCTTCATTCAGAAGAAGATGAAGAGGAAGAAGAGGAGGAGGAGGAGGAGGAAGAAGAAGAGGAGGAGGAGAAGGAAGAAGAAGAGATTGGATTTATAAGCCGCCCTTCACTACCCAAAGAAGTCTCAGAGCGGCTCACAATCTCCTTTCCCTTCCCCTCCCCACAACAGACACCCTGTGAGGTGGGTGAGGCTGAGAGAGCTCTTTCAAGGACTGCCCTTGAGAGAACAGCTCTGAAAGAACTTGCAACTGACCCAAGGCCACACCAGCAGCTGCATGTGGAGGTGCTTCACACTCAGCTGTAGACCCATCAACTCCTTCCTGCACTCTTGTCAGCATCGTTAGTCCAATTAAAATGTGTGAGACAAGGCCAATGAGTAGCCAAAGTGCATCCAAAGAGCCCCTAAGACTTATGGCGGCGGGAAGTGCCGTCAAGTTGCAGGCAACTTATGGGTGACACCATAAAGACCAGAGAGGAGCAGAGGAGATTCGCCACCGCCTGATTCTGCATAGCAACACCGGACTCCCTCAGTGGCCTCCCAGCCAAGTACTAGCCAGGGCTGACCCTGCTGAGCTCCTGAGCTCTGATGAGAGAGGGCTAGTCTAGGGGCCACCCAGGCCAGGGACCTAAGGGGTGTACCTGTGTGTATCCACCGGCACTGTCCAAGATGTTGGTTGTAGCCAGAGTGGCTGAGCTGGGGAAGCAGGTGAACATGGAGGAGACCAGGTTTGAGAGGCCATGGGCCAAGAGCTCCTGTGGGAGAAGACAGGGAGATTAAGGAAAGGGGCAGCCCCATACCTGGCAGAAGGAATCCTGACTGAAGACTAGAGCAAAAAGGGACAGAAGGGGAGGAACTCTTGAGCTACGCGGCAGCGGGTTCTTAAACACATCCTCCTCCATTGTGATGTCCCTCCACCAAGAACCCTCACAAGGATCTCTAGAACTACATCACAGGATTCCATTTCCCAGGGTTCCCTTGCCGTGGAGGGCCACAGAGGAAAGGGGATGGCAGCAGGTAAATCAGTGCAGCTAACATGGTTGAAACGGGCGTGGCCAAAGTGAAAAGGAGGCGTGGCCAAAGTAAAAAAAGGAGGCACCTCTGAGGCTTGAGAGAGCTGCACCAAATGGGGGGGGGGAGCGTTTAGATCATTGTTCCCAAACTGTGAGACACCTGATTTCTTTTGGGGCGCAGGGAATTGCTGAGAGATGACACAAAGCAGCGGCAAAGTGGCCTTCTGGGGCTCAAATGAGACACAATGTTCTTTAGCAAATCCGGTCGGGGTTCCTGACCCAGCTCACTTTCCCCACAGCCCCATGGCAGCTGCAGAGGATTTACTCCCCCAACTGCTGCAGGGCCTGATTCAGATCGGGACCACAGAGCAGGGAGACAAGGGCCCTGTCCCTTTCCTCCTGAATAATTTTTCCAAACCTCAGTGGCCCCAGGGGGTATCATTCGCCTCGGAGCAGAGCTGCATGTGAGCTGAACACGATACAGAGCAAAAAGTGCCCCCCCCCCGGCAGTTTTTGGGGAACCCAGACCCAACTTACTAAACAAAGTCATGCCTGTTTTGAGTCTTACAGTACTCCAAACGTGGCTAAGAGGACCAGACATGCAGTGACAGCTATGAGGACAGAAAAAACTGGAGTGATACGCGGCCCCTGAACCTCTTGTTCTCAGTTGGAAGCTCCCATTTGCAGAGCACAATGTGAAGAGGGTAGAAATGGAGCCATCCTGACCCTGTACCATCTATGGCTCTGCCCCGTTCACTTGGCATGGGCTAACCAATACGTGAGAGCCATGCTAGTCCGTCGTGCTAAAACCAAAGTCCGGTGGCACCTTGAAGACCGACTGCATTTATTTCAATATGAGCTTTCAAATGCTCATATTGAAGTGGACGTTGTTACTCTTTAAGGTGCCACGGGGATTTCTTTTAATAACCGATACAGAACAGCATTCAGCTTGTGGTCAACAGAATCCCCACTGATGTGTGATTCTTGTGTTTTCCTCCCCCCATCTCTGTGGGGACAACAGAAAACCAGGGGTTGGATCCTCCCAGTTTTTCCACAGCGAAAGATGGAGGAGAGACACCTTTTGACCACCGAGAAGGTTAGACCGAAGCCACAAAGAACAGGAGTCACAATGAATCTGAGCAAGATTTGAGTCCAGTTGCACCTTGGACACCGGTTAAGATTTCCAGGGTATAAGCTTCCGAGAGTCAAAGCTCCCTTTGTCAGATAGGATGTCCAATGCATACTGACTCTCCTCTTTGCAGTGCCCTTCCCACCTTCTGGCTGAGATATAAGGGCTAAGGGATCTCCATTCCCACTTGTATCTGACGAAGGGAGCTTTGACTCTCGAAAGCTTATACCCTGGGAAATCTTCCGGGTCTTTAAAGGGGCTACCACATTCAAATCTTGCTGTTCTACTGGCGAGTAGCACACCTACCCACCCGAAATGGTGAAATTGGCGAGTTTGATAAGAAAGTCTGGTAGGGTCCAGTAGCCCTAGGAGTCAGAGGCACCAAAATACAACACCCCAGAGACACAAAATAACTTGCCAAAATAACAAGCACAATAGGGTATAACTTGAATATGAATAAGAAAGTAGTATCTTCATAACAACATATAAGGCATAAAGAACGCATAGAATTCTCCAAGTAAACTGCAAAGTACAACATCAAAGTTACATAATACACATAAGTCTCCTATTGTCATTGTAATGCTGACGTGAGTGGCTGAAGAAAGAAAGGGTACAGCCAAATGTCCATTAGCATCAAAGAAGGCACAATGAAGGGGCAATAAAGTCACTAATCTCTTTTCTTCTCAATGGTATGTTTCGGAAAATACCCCTTTTCAAGAGGTACGTATTGTCTTCATTCACAATAGCAATAATTCCTAGATGCAATGACCAATCGTAGAAATCAAATGAAGCCGGAGCCCAAAAGCCTCAAAACAAACCCACAGCTCAATGGAATACCATATAGAGGGCTGGAATATTCAATTTATATTCTATTGTTCTTGTTATTTTGGAAAGTTATTTGGTGTCTCTGAGGAGCTGTACTTTTGGTTTTCCTGATCACTGGCTCCTCCCATCCATGTTTGTTTGTTTTTTCTAGGAGTTAGAGGCAGCTGAAAATCCCTCTAAAGCAGGGGTGTCAAACATGTGGCCCGGGGGCCGGATCAGGCCCCCGGAGGGCTTTCATCAGGCCCGCAGTGGAACTGGCCATCTCCTGCTTCCAGTTCTGCTGCTGCTGCTGCTGCATCATAGCTTGCTTTGCCAGACTCTCTTAATCACTCAGCCATTTCATGTTTTAACCTGGGTCCTAGACTCAGAACTCTGAGCGTGAGATTTCTGTGGTGAATGTCAACAAATCAAAAGTAGGTTTGCGGCTTACAGAGCTAATGTTTTAAGCATGTTTTTTATTTTAAGTAACAAAAAATTGTGTTTGTGTCCTTTATAAGGTTTATATCTCCACTACCTGGCATTACATTTTATAACACACATGGCCTGGCCCAACAAGGTCTCATTTATGTCAGATCCGGCCCTCATAACAAATGAGTTTGACACCCCTGCTCTGAAGTGTAGTTACAGGGGAGGGGGCTGAAGGAGAAGCCGAGTCTTTCTGAGTGCCAGGAGGTGGGGGCTGGGCTTGACGATCCAAGGGGGCCAAATCCCTGGCTGGAGATGTCCAGGGGCTCTCCTTCCCCACCCTGAGGAGACCCTAGCTTTCCAGGCTGGGGCACACACCTGGTTGGGATCAATGGTATAGTGGTGCTTCTCAGCGTAGATCATGGCCAGAGACACTGAGACGGCGTAGGCCACGAAAGTGAGGGCCACCGTGTCGCCCAGCACTTGGGGCAGCAGACGCAGGGCTGGGAGCTGGGGTTGTGGGAACCTGCACGAAAGAATGGTGGAACGGGAATCACTGTGGGCCCGTGGCAGAGGTCGCTTCCCTGCCTCCCCCCCCATCTCAGCCTCCCCCCCTCCCCCAGACAAGGTTGGCCTCACTCTTATTCCAGCGTCCAGGGTTCAGGCGTCAGAAGTCAAGCCTGGAAGTTGTGCTTCCATCGCCAGGCCAGAATGACAGCTGTGACTTTCCCTCAACCAGCACTGAGAGTGGGGAGGGTGGAAAGGAGAGACAGAAAGGGACCTTACCCTGCTGGGAGGTGTCCGACAATCTGCACGTTGTAGTGGGTGTTGAGGGAAGAGGCAAAGCAAATGCCAGTGGCCAACAATACCTGCCAGGAATGAGAAATACCGGAAGTTAGTCCGAAGGAGCATATGCCACATCAGTTTTAAGCAGCCTCTCTCGCCACTGGTTAAAAACACCTGCTGTGATGTATACCCAGATGTTGCGAAGATTAAATGTACACCTGCTGTGATGTTTACCCAGATGTTGCAAAGATTAAATGTACAGTAAAGTATGGTTCATAGCCCTCATTGGTGGTGTCCACTCTAGTCTGGAACAGACATCCTTTTATTTCTCTTGCTTTCAACTGAGAATCCAGATGACATAGTCAACCCACTGGTTTCCATAGTTTTCCCTGCTGTCTTCCCAACGTTTTTTCCAGACTGCATTTGTGGTGATTAAAAAAAAGAAACTTAAAACGCAATTGTAGTGCCACCCTGTCCAGGGTGGACAGTCAAAGTAGGAATGAGTTTTCTCAGGGCTACTAGCCATTTGATTTTTCTCCTCCTCTCTTTGTTGCTTTTGTTTCCAGTTTCATTAATTGCTTCGTCTTCCCTCATGATGACTGCAGCATTACAGAATCATATCTTAATTATCAATTATTGTCCAAGGAAGGTGTGTGTTTTTTTTAGGGGGGGTTGTTAATTACCCTTGCAGCCAAAGTAAAACCACATCTTTCATTTAAAACCCAAGTCTTTATGGCTATCAAGAAAAGCTCTGAAACATGTTGGCTATTTCTGCTGGAGATATCGGCTGACTGCAAGGATGGTGTAGTGGTTCAAGTCTCAGACTAGGATCTAGGAAACCCATATTCAAATCCCTGTGCTGCTCCAGAAGCTCACTGGGTGACCTTGGGCCAATCACTTTCTCGCAGCCTAACCTACCTCACGGGGTTGTTGTGAGGATAAAATGGAGGACGAGAATAAGCTGCTTTGTATCTCTGCTGGGGAGAAAAGTGGGATATGTCTAAATAAATAGATCACAATAAATGTTAAATGGGAATTCTGGGCAGGCCTTCCAAGGGTCAATCTCCACTGCATTGCTCAGCTCTGTACCCCTTCCAGGATAACTATAATTTCCCCCCCATGTGTCCACCTATATCCAGCATTCTTGCCTTTTGCTGCCTCTTCTTCCCTCTCTTGTTACTCTCTGACATTCCAATTAATGCAAATCTATGAATTCTTTGACAGCCTGCCTCCATCTTGGAAACAGAAGTATGCAAAGGAAAGTGACAGAATTTGGAAGATTTCCAAAAGTAAAATGTGAGTTTCCTCTGCCCGAGACATCCGGATGCGGAAAGACAGAATGTGGCTAAGACTCCTCACATACCATGATGATCTCTCCTGGGATGGGGACCCACATCCGGCTACGGTAGCGGTTGTTGATCTCCTTGATGGGCACCAGCACAGCCAGGCAGAGGCCTGAGATCAGCAGTTCAGCTATGTTGGTTAAGGGAAAGGCTTCCACCACAGACGCCAGCATCTAGGCATAAGGCAGAGAACAGAACATCTGAAAAGAGTGTTGACGTGGAGAGGTCCAGCCTTCTGCCAAAGGGACAGAGTGGAAGGCCTCTTGCAGCCTTGAGAAGGGGTGGGGGGGAGCAGCTGGGCTCACTGAGGTTTGCAAGCAGAAATTAACTGGGTGGGAGCAAAACTGCTAAAAGCACCCTTTGATTATTGTGGTCATCAGCAGAGGCAGACAAAGAGAAGTCATGGCCACATTCCCAGCTACAAGAAATATCATCTATCTATCTATCTATCTATCTATCTATCTATCTATCTATCTATCTATCTATCTATCTATCTATCTATCTATCTATCTTCATCATCATCATCATCATCATCCATCTATCTATCATCCATCTATCATCCATCTATCATCCATCTATCTAGGGCTTTTTTTAAAAAAAAGAGGTGCTGGAACTCTCAAGAGTTGAGACTCTCAAGAAGTTTTCAATCTGTATACTGAAAACTCATGAACTTTTAAATATTTTAAAAAGAATTTTGTCAAAGAGGTTCTGGAACTCCATTCCTATGCATTCCCCCAGAAAAAAAGCCATCCATCCATCCATCCATCCATCATATACCCTTGACCAAAGAACACCCCTTTTATCTGGGATAGCCGTCCTCTTCAACCGAGCGCACAGCTTTGGGAGGGATGCACATGGAGCGGTGAGGGAGGTAGGGGATACCCGCCTAGCCAGCCAGATCAGCCAAATCAACCCTGGCGATCAATGGGGTGACAGATGTTGCAGCCAAAACGCCCTCACACCCCTATCTATTATCTATCTATCTATCTATCTATCTATCTATCTATCTATCTATCTATCATCTGTCATCTGTCATCTATCTGTTTTAATGAGTTGTGACAGTGAAATACCCTAAGGAGTGCAGCTGAATTCACTGTCAACACAGGAAAGGTGAACACATGAAGCTGCCTTATCCTGAATCTGGTCCTTGGTCCATCAAAGTCACTGTTGTCTACTCAGGCTGGCAGTGGCCCTCCAGGGTCTCAGGCAGAGGTCTTTCATACCACCTACTGCCAGATCCTTTAGCTGAAGTTGCTGGGGACTGACCTCCCACATGAAGGTTTTTGCCCTCTGCATTTATATTGGCGGTGGCTTTGCAAGCACAGAAGCGTGGGGTGCTGCGCAGGGCCCCCAAGCCCTCGGCCCGCTCTGGGTAACGCACCTTGAAGATGGTGAACCAGCCATCAGGACGAGGTAGGGGCAGTCCCAGGAGGCTCTGAAGCTGGGACACCACCACATGCAAAGCGGCACCGCTGGTAAAGGCCTTGACGACAGGCTCCGAGAGATAGGTGGACAGGAAGCCCAGGTGAAAAGTAAACATCCCTGTCTGAAGATGAGAAGGCAAATGTCAGCGTTAGGAACCTATGAAGTGTTAGGGACATACAGATGTTCCCAGAACCAGGGCTGGGCGTCTACTGCAAAATTCCCCAAGAAAAGCCACAGAAACTGGTATCGGGTGCAGAATTTTGTTTCCAGAGAAGATTAGTTTTCATTATTTTAAAGAAGTCCTCAAGTTGTAATGATATAGGTGTGTGTGTTGGGCTATCCTAGTGAAATCTCAAAAGTCAAAGGAGTTGCTGAATAGGACTTGCCGTTCCTTACCCCTCCCTGCGACTGGCAGAACCGATCTAAGTTATTATTATTTTTTAAAGTAAAAAATCTTTGGGATAAGAGGGGTCACGGCAATCTACACCTCTGACCAGGGCTATTTTTGGGCAGGAACGCACAGGAACAGAGTTCCGGCAGGCTTCCAAGTTGGCCATGCCCAGCAGGAACTCATTAGCATAACAGGCCACACCCAACAGCAGAAACTCATTAGGATTGGCTACATTAGGGGTGTGTGGCCTAACATGCAAAGGAGTTCCTGCTACAAAAAAGCCCTGGGTTTTAACAACAAACAAGGTAAACAGAATAAGAAGCAAAAGGTGGGCGTGGCTTGGTGAGCACATTTCTGGTAACATGGGGGTGTGGCCTAATATGCCAATGAGCTGTGCTGTCAGGGTGTGTGGCCTAATATGCTAATGAGTTTCTGTTGTTGGGTGTGGCCTATTATGCTAATGAGTTCCTGCTGGGCTTTATCTACAAAAAAAAAGCCCTGCCTCTGACACAAGTCACAGACATGGCTTTCTTGTAGCAAAATTTGGGTTTCCTTAGCACAGTATTTAGTTCTTTTTTAAATGCAGCTTTGTCCGCAACACTGCTATGAAACAAGGAATGGGGTGCATCCTGCTAACTTTCCAGGGAAGACCATCTCCTCCCCCCAAGCCCTGTAGATAGAGATGCCAACCTCCAGGTGGTGGCTGGAGATCTCCTGCTAATACAATTGATCTTCAGGTGACGGAGATCAGTTCCCCTGGAGAAAATGGCCGTTTTGGAGGGTGGACTCTGTGACATGATACCCCCACTGAAGTCCCTCCCCTCCCCAAACCCTGCCCTCCTTAGGCTCCACCCCCCACAAATCTCCAGGTATTTCCCAGCCTGGATCTCCGGTTCCCCACCTGCACAGAATAACAGACTTCAATACAATACAAAGTCTGGAATTTGTTTTGCCAGCTTCAGAACAAGCAAAAAGAAAAAAAATTCTTCACACAATGGACATTTAGCTTTTGGAATTCATTGCCACAAGATGTGCCAATGGCCTTGAAGAAAAGACGAGACAGCCCTCACCCGGATAGCCCAGGCAAGCCCAATCTTGTCAAATCTCGGAAGCTAAGCAGGGTCGACTCTGGCAAGTACTTGGATGGGAGACCTCCTTGAAACACCAGCAGTTGGGAGGCGTGGGCAGACTTTATTCAGCCACCTCTCTGAATATCCCCCCGGCCCCCAGTAGGGGGTCAGTCACCAGAGGTCGCCATGACTTCCAGGTGCCCGCACATTCACACACATATTAAAAAATACAAAAAAAGAAAGGAAGAGACAAATCCATGGAGGATATCTCTGTCAGTGGCTGCCCACCATGACAGCTAATGGAACCTCCACATGCAAAAAAAAAATTCTACTACCAGACGCTGAAGGCAACCGACAGGAGAGACCTCCACATCCTGACGGTAAGCTTCCAAAGGCTCATCTGCCTGGCCACTGTTCAGATCTATTTTCTATTTTCCCAAGGCACCACAAACATACCATTCGTTCAAGCTTCTTGGCCAAGCCCCCTTTTGGGATCTTTTGGGGAAGACCTCTTCGTATTCGAGAAAACATCTTGGCTGGCCCCATCGAGTTCCAGCAGCACCTCTTGACTCACCATGAGGAACCCCATAAGGAAGGCCATGGCAGCGGCGACACCGATGCGCTGCCCCTCGAGCAAAGCTGCTTCAGCAGGGTCCGTGCCATTGGACTGCAGGGGTATAGGAACCAAACGCTCCACGACGGAGCCTGTCATCAGACTGACCACAGCAAAGGTACCTGGGGAGTTGAGAGAGAGACGAGATGGGTGGAGTTGTGGCTCAGTAGAAAAGCTCCTGCTTGGCACGCAAAAAGGTCCCAGGTTCAATCCCCAGCATCTCCGGTTAAAAGGATCAGGAGGTGATGTTGAAGACCTCTACTTGAGACCCTGGAGAACGGCTGCCAGTTAGAGTAGGCGATTCTGACCAATCTAGGGCTCTTTTTGTAGCAGGAACTCCTTTGCATATTAGGCCACACACCCCTAATGTAGCCAATCCTCCAAGAGCTTACAGAGCTCTTCTTACAGGAGCTACTGTAAGCTCTTGGAGGATTGGCTACATTAGGGGTGTGTCACGTAATATGCAAATGAGTACCTGCTACAAAAAGAGCCCAATAACTCAGTATAAAATAGCTACATGTGTGTAAGAGGGGAAGGAACAAATTTATATCTGTGTTACCTTACTGGATTACATCGCACAACAGCTCTCCTTTATAACCTCTCTAATCCCTGTTTTGCTGTGCCACTATACCACTATACCACAGCAGTACCTACCTCCACCCGTACAACAAACAGAGGATCTTTTCAAATTAGGAGCATTCTCTATATATACAAATTTGAAGCACTGTGTATTCCAAGGGATTTGGATGGATTAAGCAGAGCAGGCTGAAAGACGATAGACCGAGAGGCATCGTATGTCCACACTCAGCATTCAGTACAATTTGCTACATGTGCATTTTTTAAAAAAATCAGAAAAGCTGACATGGCCCGCAGGGTGGGGAAGGAATTCTCAGGCTTCCCAATAAGCTCTGAGCGAATTTTCATGGGAGGGTGTGAATCCCAGTTTTTTAAATTTTTGCTTAATTAAAAAATATATATACCTGTGTCAGCAAATGCTCCATAGTAAATTTATTAATATTATTATTAATTAGCAAAGCACCCACTGTTCTGAGAGACTGAGTGCTGGAGGGCGAGGGGGAGGTATACTATTTCTATCCTTATTGCAGGGTTCCGTCTCAGTGTGGGAAGCTCTGTCGATCAAGCGTGAAAGCCAGAGGGCAGATTTTATCCTCACTGCAATGATGTCACCAAGCAAATGGTCTTACTTTTCTCCAGGGCTTTTTTGGTAGAAAAACCCCAGCAGGAACTCATTAGCATAACAGGCCACACCCAACAGCAGAAACGCCTTAGCATATTACACCACACCCCTGATAGCACATCTCATTAGCCTATTAGGCCACACCCCTATGTTACCAGAAGTGTGGTCGTCCAGCCACACCCACCTTTTGCTTCTTATACTGTTTAACTTGTTTGTTGTCAAAACCCAGGGCTTTTTGGTAGCAGGAACTCCTTTGCATGTTAAGCCACACACCCCTAATGTAGCCAATCCTAATGATTTTCAGCTGTTGGGTGTGGCCTATTATGCTAATGAGTTCCTGCTGGGCGTGACCAACTCGGGAGCCAGCCGGAACTCCGTTCCTGTGCGTTCCTGCCCCAAAATAGCCCTGCTTTTCTCCATAGGTGTGAATGGTAAGTATTTGCTTGTATGGGAGAAAATGGTGGTGGAAAGTACTGTCAAGTCGCAGCCAACTTACGGCTACCCTGAAAGCCTTTCAAGGCAAGCGATGTTCAGAGGTGGTTTGCCATTGCCTGCCTCTGCGTAGCAGCCTTGGACTTCCTTGGTGGGCTCCCATCCAAGACCTAACGAGGGCCAATCCTCCCTAGCTTCCAAGATGCCCAGGTTCAGAAAGAGACACATTGATGCCTGTGGATCACTATGAGAACATTACCCCAAGGGGGCTACGGCATCCTACCAGAGTCCTACATTTCGCTCACCTGTGGACACGTGACGCCCCGTGCCAAAGAGCATGTACAGTAAAGCAGGGAAAAACGAAGTGTAGAGCCCATAGACCGGTGCCACTGAGGTGAGCAAGGCAAAGGCCATTCCTGTGGGAAGCAACCGCAGGAGAAGTTATATAAAAGACTGGCCGGGCAACCCATTCATTAGGCTAGGAAGTTCGACCTCTGGAAAACACAAGCTGAGCAAGACCCCACTTCCCTGCCCTACAGACAACAACGACCAAAGCTGCCTGTATCTTTGAACCAACAGAACTGGCGTGGAAGGTAACCCAGTGTCCCATCCGTGCTTACATGGCTTACTTTTCAGCCCTGCATAGGTATGTCCCAGCCTGCTTCATTGACTTCATGGCCTTTTAACCCTACTGTGCACAATTTCCCACCCTCTATATGACTATGGCATTTTCCAGATTGCAGCCACCTTTCGTGTTTTCATCAGCGTCGTGGCAGTTCCAATTATGACATTATCGGTGAAGTGAGACCATTTTTATTTGGTCTTTCCCCAACAGTCCTCCATCCCTTCGGATTCATATTTGAGGATTGCTTTTCTACTTTTCCCCTCTTTTTGTTTCGCGCATGCGCTGAAGTGCTACAGTTGCCTCAAGGAGACGAGTGCACTTGAAGAAGTTCTGAATTCCCCCTTCCCCTCGGAGCGGGTTTCCTTTCTCCCTTTGCATCCGAAGATATTCCTCCCCCCCTTCCCTAATGAAAATGGCTCTGAGGGGTTTTTTTGGCTGTTGAACTTTGTGGATCTGTGAATATCAGGGGTTTCAGTGAGAATGAACTGAGCCACCTAGCCAGGTATGCCTTTTAATCTGGCCCTACACCTTCAAACCATCTGTGCTCTGTATCCTCCATGAAATTTACCTGATCTTGCCAAGAAAGACTAAAAAGTGATACTAAACTGTGTTTGAAAATGGCACCCAGGGGCTATGGACAGACTGGAAGCCTGAAGCGATATGGCGCCACCTCTAAATGTAGCGCTTTTAAGTGCTGCGGCCCACGGGGCATACCAACCAGACATCACACACTCCTGCGGGTTACCCGTGTAGCCATTCTGTGGGCACACATCCACATTACTGCAGCACCTCAGCCACGGAGTGTGCTGCCTGGTCGTTTTTTTAAAAACGCAGGCAGGTCCATGCACATATGTGCATACAGGCAGACACTCCCCCCCCCCGTGGTGAAAATGGATCTGCAGGTTCAGACTGCCAATCCGTTCTGTGTGTGCTCCCCCAGATGCAGACATCTGGCCACATGCGACGAATGCACGGGGAACAGAAAACAACACATTTTGTGTGGCGTCTATTTACTCCATTTCCAACTCATCATACGACGGGGTGCGTACGACTGGGGAATGGCTGACAGATGTGGCTGCGTGACCCTGCTGGTTTAATAGATGTGGCTGTGTGACCCTGCTGGTTTAATATGTTTGGGGAACACAGCTATATCGAGCCAAACTGCCAGTCTGAATGCAGCCAGGGACGTGTAATAATTTGTTCTGGAGTTTGAATGAAATGATTGGCTGCTGGTGTCGGCACTGCTTATTTCAGTGCAGGTGTCTTCCAGGGCTGAAACGTTTCTCTGCTGGCATGCAAATTAAAAAGAAAACCCCCAAAACGCCCTCTCTGGGCAGGTTTGGGCAGCAATCCTCAAGTCGGGGGGAAATGTTCAGATTCCAAGATAGAAGCTTTCTTGCGAATTCATTTTGCAATGAAAACAAAAAGTGTGGGAGAAACCAGTTTTAAAAGGAACAGGGAAAATGGGGAAGAACTGGGACAGCGTTGAGATATTTGTGATAGGAATTTGTCTGGACACAAGGGAAAAAACCCAGTAACATCAGGGAATGAGAATGGAACTTTGGAAGTCTGGAAAACGCCTATGACTTCGCTTGAAGAACTGAGCCCTACGCCACAATAAAGCTTGCTCTTCTTTAAGGTACCTCAAGACTCCTCCTGGTGTTTATATCCATACCAAACATTTCCTCCTCTGCATAATAGGATCTGTGCTTTTCTCCTGGAGCAAAGAGCCCCATGAATTCAACTTTATCCATATCCCTGCCCTCGAGAGTAAATTATATGCTTTGCACATAGAAGGTCTTGGGTTCGGTGCCTGGTATCTCTAGATCAGATCCCAGGTAGCAGAATTAGGCAAGCGTTCTACCTGTAGCCCTGAAGAGCCAGTAAGTAGAAAGCAGTGGGTAACTGAATCTCTAATTACTGCTTTAGATAGATAGATAGATGATAGATAGATAGATAGATAGATAGATAGATAGATAGATAGATGATAGATAGATAGATAGATAGATAGATAGATAGATAGATAGATAGATAGAGTTTGAAAATTATGTGCGGTGAAGAAGGAAGCAATGTTTTTTTCTGAGCTCCTCCCCAACTCCAGAATTCTAAATGCATTTATCTTTGAAAATTCCACACTCCAGAACTACCTTTACTAAGCAACAGTGACCATCGGGGTTTCATTACTCGTGTTTACAAGTTAACATTCCCTTACACTCGCTATCTTCAGCTGATATGGTAATTACCAGCTAACTGTATGTAACTGATACAATATTTGTCTTATTTGGGCTGAGTCCAGTTGGAAGTTTCCTTTCCCCTCGCAATTTGTAGCACTAAAGGAGGATGTTGGGGGAAAGGTAAAACCTCTAGAAAGGGAGACCAATCAGCACAATGCTGTTCAAATTTATGCGGCAGGCAGAAGGCATCAAATTGGTACTCAGCTGTAGGACAAGAAAGTGGTACGTGCAGAGCAGTATCTCTCTCCTTATGGAACCCAGTATTGTATAGTGGATTAATTAATCAACTTGATTTATATTTATTTATTTAACGTATATTGAACCTTTCTCTCCAACAGGGACCTAAAGTGGCTTACAACATTCTCCTCGCCTCCATTTTATCCTCACAACAACCCTATGAAGAAGGCTAGGCTGAGAGTGTGTGACTGGCCCAAGGTCACCCGGCAAGCTTCCATGGCAGAGTGGGGATTCGAACCTGGTTCTCCCAGATCCTAGTGTGACACTCTAACCCACTGATAGCCACTCAGTGGCTTGGGAGCCACATGTAGCTCTTTGAGATGCCCCCTGTGGCCCTTCTGAGCACTGGAGGAGATTGACCTGATACAAGATAATCAGGGAGAAAGGAAGATAATGTACCGATAAATGAGGCAGCTGCCCCAGATGGAGGTGGGATAACAGACCAGCCTAGGCTGAAGGACAACTTTACATTTTTGCCAACTCTGATCTCCCATTTGGACTAACAGCAGTCAGAGGGATTAGCTCCATCCATCCCTGTGTGGTTTGCACAGGTGTCAGTCATGGGGAATGCCAGCTTGGTGTCATGGTTAAGAGTGGTGGACTCTAATCTGGAGAACCGGGTTTGATTCCCCACTCCTCCACATGAAGCCAGCTGGGCGACCTTGGATCAGTCCCAGTTCTCTCAGAGCAGTTCTCTCAGAGCCAGCATTCCCTCTAAGCCGAGTTAGTGTGAGCTGGCTCAGTTGCTCACACATTTTTGTCTTAGCTCAGGAAGGATGGCTCCAGAGCTAACTAATTTATGCAACAGCCAAATTGTTCACTCACAACTTTAATGCCAGTAGCTCACCAAGTAGAATTTTTGCTCACCGGACTCCACAGCTTAGAGGGAGCCTTGCTCAGTGCCCTCTCAGCCCCACCTACCTCACAGGGTGTCTGTTGTGGGGAGAAGAGGCGAAGGTGATTGTAAGACACGGCTTCGCCCGATTTCCTCCGCAGTTTCGTAACCCTCAAAAAACAGGATCACGAAACTGCGGGGGAAATCGGGCGAAGCCGCGAGTCAAAATGCAGCCCTGCAGCTTCGGGTGTGAAATTGACCAATAGTGTCGGGGCAAACGGCGGCGCAACCGCGAGGCACCTCTAGTGCGAAATCAGCCCAACTCTTCTTCTTCTTCTAACAGAAAATCTTCCAACCTGTAAGTACATAGTACTCGGCAAATCAGCCCTGACTAGGAAATCACTGATGCATGCTCCATTAAGCCCAGCTACCTAAGGTTGAGCTGGCGACGGAGGTAGAAAGGCTCCACCTTAACAAAGGCCAAGGAGAAATCACGGGAAGACATCCAACAATTCAGGGCTGTTGTGTTCTCCCCCCCACGCCACGTCACAGCTGCCTCCTCCACACTCTAGCAAAAGAACCGGGGAGATAACAGACAGAGCAGCTCCTAGCATAAGTCAGTGAACAGGAGGAGATGAGCAGCGGCAGGGCATGCGGAAAGGAAGCAACAAATCCTCTTCAAGGCCAGGAAAAGTATGTGAATCAGGGAGGGAGGATTGGGGGCATTTGGAGGAGCAGAGACGGGAGTTAATGGAGGAGGTGGGCAGCAGTGTTTCCTCTAAGCTGAGTTAGCATGAGCTAGCTCGCCGTTTTTTAGCCTCCAGCTCACACGTTTTTGTCTTAGCTCAGGAAGGATGGCTCCAGAGCAAACTAATTTATGCAGTAGCCAAATGGCTCGATCACAACTTTAATGCCAGTAGCTCACAAAGTAGAATTTTTGCTCACACGACTCCACAGCTTAGAGGTTGATTGGTGGGCAGAGGTTGATACTGGAAGGTGTGCAAAGTGTCAGATACAGAGAGGGAGGGAGGAAGACATTAGAAACTCAGAGGTATACAAGAAGGGGTTTGAGATTAACGCCCCCCCAGGAAGTCCATGGGACAGAGTGGGAACTTTTGAGTCCCATGGCAATCGGGGCATGCATCAGAGCCCAGCACAAATGGATTGGGAAGGCGGGAAACAGAACCTCAAAAAAAAGAGACTGGAATTCTCTGAATGTCCTGCAGGTAGGAAGCAGAAATCAAGTATGGGCAAATGGGGGATCAGAACAAATAAAAATCTAGGAAAACCTGATAGGGAAATGATATACACAGGGACAGACAAGGAACAGGGATGATACATAAGACTGACATGTGCCCCCTCCCCAGATTTCTGACTATCTCAATTTTATTTTTTGCTGCCCCCACTCAATACGTCTTTCCAGATTAGGGGAAGATTTACCCCGCTGTTAATTCTCCAAGAAATGTTTGTGCAGAAAAGAACTGGCTTTTCTAGGCGTTGCTCCAAGACGAGCCGTTTTGGGATCACAATTGACACTGGGTTCTGCAATGTCTCGACACCCATGGGCCCCAAACTCACCTTGTGGGATGTGCACAATCCCCACGGTTAGCCCTGCAACCACATCCCCCAGAAGCCACTTCCTGGGCCGGTACCTAGGCAGCCAGCGGGCAATGGGAAGCCTGCCCTGGAGGAAGTGCAAAGCGGCAGCCCTGGAACAGTGGCAGCCCCGAGCCAGCCTGTCCTTCAGCATCCCTGCCAGGTCACTCTCTGGTGTTTGTGGGGCCCCGTAGACCTGTTGGAAGCGCTCCTCGGTGTAGATGCCCCGGTACAAGGCCAGGCTGCTCATGCTGACGGCTGCAGGCAGGCAGGCAGGATGTTCACGGCCACCTTTTTATCTCTGGCTGGGCTCAGCTTCCCTGCCCAATCGCAAGGCTAGGCTAGCTGGGATTCTCCTCCCTCCGGGGAAACAGCAGAGAATAGGGTCTGGACAGGAAGGGGGAAGGAAGCTCCCGGCGCTAAGGGGTCAGACGCAGGGCGACGAGGCTCCGAGGCCACCGTCCAAAAACAGCAGCAGTGTCATACCTTTCCGGGGGGACAAACAAAATGTCATCAAGTTAAGGTACAAGCGTCCTTGCTCCCCAGAACTTTTTATCAGGCTGGATACCGTTTGGGAGGCTCGCAAACTGTGCCGGTGTGTCAGTTCACACCGTTTGTGCATTCAGATCTTAAGCCTCTGATCTAACAGGGTACCTTGCATTCTTATTGGTGTTTTTTTTTTAAAATGTGCTTCTTGAACTTCTGCTGTTACCTGCAGAGTCACAAGAAGGTCTCTTGGCAGCCACAGATGCTGAGCGGGGTCCCCAGGGACATTCCACTGACAGAAGAAAGAGGAGGGTTGATCTAACCCGATCCCTCTCCTTCCTGCATGGCTTTTTTGCCTGCAAGGGTCCCCCAACCACTGAATCCCACCCACCCACAGATCATAGGAGACTACTGTGGGAAGTGGGAAGGAGCAGCTTCCGTCAGCAAATATTTGTAAGATTCCACCTTAAAGACTAATAAATGTGTCGTGGTATGAACTTCCCTGGGCTGGCCTCCAGGTGGGACCTGGGGATGCCCCGGAATTACAGCTCATCTCCAAATTTCAGGGATCAGGTTTCCTGGAGAAAATGGCTGCTTTGGAGGGTGGAGTCCATAGCACTGTACCCAGGGGTCATTTCGTAGAAAAAGAGCTAGGGGAACTCATTAGCATAACTCATTAGCATATGCCACACCCCCTGACTTCAGGGCATAGAGAAGGAGGGCCCTGGGCGATCAAAGTCTCAGAAGCTCGGTTTAGCGACTGTTCTGTGAACAATTCTGGCTCCATCCGTTTGACTGAGAAGGTGGGAACTGAGCTCTTGCAAGAAATGTTGACCCTCCTGATCACCTTTGCCCATGAATACTTGAAAACAGATTTGCTTGCCAGCGAACGAATATTTTTCGTTAGTATCGGTTGCTTCAAAACATATAACCTGAATGCCACATGAGCAAGATCATAACCTTCCCCCTCCCCCCATATTATTAATCCAGGCTACACGGCACCCGAGAATTCTCAATGCACAGAGTGATATATAATGAAACCCACCCCTCACAGCCATATTTTAAATAAGATTTTATTTACTGCATTTTAAACAATATGCTTTTTATGTTTTAATTGAATTGTTTTATCATTCTGTGCTTTTAATTGCTCAAATGTGTTAATTTTTTTTATGTAGAGCCTGATCGGGTGGAAAGGCTGCGTAAAAATGTGTGAAATAATAAAATGATAAACAATTCTTTTTAAAGGGCATCATTCTTCATATTGCCGTTCTTCGCTGTGCTGACTGCAAGCACAACAGAATGGCAAAAGTTAATGAGACATAACTGCCCTGACCTGGATAGCCCAGGCAAATCCGATCTCGTCAGATCTTGAAAGCTATGCAGCATCAACTCTGACAGGTACTTGGATGGGAGACCTCCAAGGAATACCAGGGCCAGGACACAGAGTCAGGCAATAGCAAGCCACTCCTCTGAACATCCAAGGCCCAGTGGGGGTCACCAGAAGTACACCCCCCCAAAAAAAGGAGACATAACTAACTTACAGCTACAAACTTCCCAATTCCTCAAGTAAGCCTGTGCGGTTTAGTGATTAGAATGTAGGGCTAGGGTCTAGGAAACTCAGGTTCGAATCCCCACTGTGCCATGGAAGTTTGCTGGGTGACCTCGGGCCAGTCACAAGCTCTCAGCCTCACCTACCACATAGAGAATAAAATGGAGGAGAGGAGAATAATATAAATCCCTCTGGGTCCCCTCTAGGTAGAAATGAAGAAAATAAGTTACACACTCCCCAATTCCTCAAGTGGCAAGAAGTTCCAGGTGCTGTGTGGCCCAGGTGACTTCCCTTTGTGGGGCCTGCGTTCAAATCTAGCTGCAGGCCAGCAAAGGAGACACGTGACACCGTTTTAATGTTTGCTTAGTTTACAGATACACAAGTGGGTCACAGATCTAGACAAAGAGGGGCACCCACAGGGCAGCAGATCCAACACCTCACGCTGGATCCCCAGAAAGAAAAATATCCTACAATGCCAAGGCTCCCAGCTGTACCTCTCAGTCTCTGCCAAACTCAAATGGCTGTTTCTTCTCACACTCATCCACACCATTCTGCTGCCTCCCTCAGCTGAGCGGGGTCAGCCTTCCCCCAAGGTCTTCTGGGTAACGGAACAAAGCCCTTGAGGGACCAGCTCCTAACAACAAGTGGGCTCCCTGCCCACGTGGCCAGTGTGGGCGCTTGGAGTGCCAATGTGGCAGGCGGGTAGCTGTGTGGGAGGAAGCAACAGGGGTGGCCCGTCGTCATCTCCCAGGCTGGATTCAAGGTGAGCTGCAGAGTCCATTTGGAAGAGGTGCAAACTTTTTTTCCCCAAAAAAACAATTTATTAGGATATATTATTAGCTCAAATACACAACATATTTTTTATTATACATTCTTTCTCCTCTCCCCCCCCACCCGGCTTCCCACAGTGCTCCAACCTCCAGCCCATTTCTTAGTTCTTTTCCATTTTCCACTTATCTTTTAATCATAGTCTACCGGTAACATTTCCTTCTACTACTATTTTCTCTTAATTAACTTTCCTCTTAATAACATTAATTTTTTCAGTAATTGTCAAAGCAAATTAAATTGTCCTTTACATCCCAATATTTTTCTAAATACTCTTTAAAGTCTTTCCAGTCTGCATAGAATTCTTCTGCTTCAAGGTTCTTAAGTTTCCCTGTCATTTTGTCCATTTCAACCATGAATAGTAATTTCTTTATCCATTCCCCGATTTCCAGGATTCTGTCTTGTTTCCAACATTGCACATAAGTCATTCTAGCAGTTATGATCATATACCACATCAAAGTTCTTTTCTGCACATTAACTTCTTCCATTTTAAGTCCCAACAGCAATATTTCAGGTTCTTTCTTAAAGTTACATTTTACAATTTTTCCCATTTCTTTATGGATCTCAGCCCAATAACTTCTTGCTTTGTCACATGTCCACCACATATGATAAAAGGAGCCTTCCATTTTTTTACATTTCCAACATTTGTTTGACATATTACTATTTATATTTGCAATCTTTTTTGGTGTCATATACCATCTATACATCATCTTAGAACAGTTTTCTTTTAAATTATTACACGTTGATATTTTCAGGAAGAGGTGCAAACTTGTGCTGCCGCTACCTAGTTCTGCAGCCCTTTGGTGGCAGCACAGCACCCTGCTGCTACCACTGAACAGCAAGAGGCTGGAGAGGCTACAAGGCCGGGGTCAGCATACCCTGAGGTGGAGCATCTGCCGGGACCCAGGGCTTCTGCCAAAGCCCACTGTCACTAACCCCCACCCACAAAGCTCCTCCGCTAGCTGCCTCTGAACCCTTCCCTCATCCTCTCGCTTGCAAGTACTCTGCCTCCTCTGCTCCTGGCTGCCCAGCACTGCCAGGAGAGAGTGTGCAGGTGGTGGATAGTCACAGCGATGGCACTCCCATCGGCGCACACCACCGAGTGCCACTGGGGGAAAGGCCTGTAGGTGGTTGGGGGTGTGAGCGGTGGAGGGGGCGAAGAGCAGACAGGGGGAGACGGCACAACAGGTGCGGGTTAGACGGAGGGAGAAGAAGGGAGGGGCGGGCTGGGGTCCTGGTAGTGGGCAGAGGAGGGGGTGGTGTCCTCTAAGCACTCTCTGTTCAGGGATCCTCAAAACCCAGAACTGGCCTTGAGTGGCTTCCTTGAGTCTAGTGGAGGTCCGGGAGAGGAGGCACACCCCTGACTCCCCACTCCCACAACTACCTCCTGTCTCCAAAGGCCATCTGTGTTAGAATCATGGAGTTGGAAGGGACCTCCAGGGTCATCTAGTCCAACCCCCTGCACAATGCAGGAAATTCACAACTACCTCCCCCCACATGCCCCAGTGACCCCTCTTCCATGCCCGGAAGATGACAAAAAACTCTCCAGGATCTTCAGCCAGACTGGCCTGGAGAACAATTGCTTCCTGACCCCAATGTGGCAGTCAGCATTTCCCTGGGCGTGTAAGAAAGGGCCACAAGAACTAAGCACTGAGGCAACCCTCCCTGCCCTTGCTCTCATGACCTGCCTATGTTCACAGAATCAGCATTGCTGCCAGATGGCCATCTAGCCTCTGTTTGAAAACCTCCAAAGAAGCCCACCACCTCCCGAGGGAGTCTGTTCCACTGAGGAACCATTCAACTGTCAGGAAACTCTTCTGATTTAATTTCAACCCATTGGTTCTGGTCCAAACTTCTGGGGCAACAGAAAACAACTCTGTACCTTCCTCTTGATGACAGCGCTTCAAGTACTTGAAGATGGTTATCATATCACCTCTCAGTCGTCTCCTTTCCAAGCTAAACATACCCAGCTCCTTCAACTTTTCCTCATAGGACTTCGTCTCCAGACTCCTCACCATCTTTTTTGCTCTCATATCTGCCTTGTGAGAAATGAAACCCTGTACCTTAATTTCTGTACACTTCGCCTTTCCTTATGCAACCTTCCCCTCTAAAAAGAGTCCTATGAAGAACAAAAGTTAGACAGAATATATAAAATGAATAGCTTTTTTTGTTGATGCAGCATTTGAGTCCATGTGCAGGGGATGTTGAAAGGGGAGTTCAGTTAACTGCTTGAGGATGTGGACAGTCTGACCATTAAGCAAACATAAGTGATCACCTAGGGCACCAAAGGAGGTGCCAAAATTCCCACACTGAACAGCTTATCCTCCTCCTCCTCTGATCCAGGCTCCTTAGCTGCCCTCTTGTGTCAAGAGGTTGCCACCACCTGCAGC